TCCTGGCTCAGCCTCAACTAGGAACTAGATAAGATACTCTTTTCTTAATAGGTCATAATTTTTAATACTAATCTGTTACAACTTATTTAAACAAAAAAACCCCACAATTTTAATTTTTTTAAATTTATTTTTATGTATATGGATGTTTTGTCTACGTGTATGTCTGTGTACCATGTGTGTGCCTGGTGCCCTTGGAGGTCAGGAGATGGTGCTGGGTTCCCTGGAACTAGAGTTACAGACAGTTGTGAGCTGCCATGTGGTTGCTGGGACTCTCCCACTGTATAGAGTGTGTTTGGATCATGTCCACCCTTCCCACTCTCCCCAGGCCCTGCTGTCACGACCTCCTCCTCACTTCATGTCACCTTTTCTTTTTTTTTTTTTTTTTTGTTGGTTTTTTTTTTTTTTTTTGAGACAGGGTTTCTCTGTAGTTTTGCGCCTTTCCTGGAACTCACTTTGTAGACCAGGCTGGCCTCGAACTCACAGAGATCCGCCTGCCTCTGCCTCCCAAAGTGCTGAGATTAAAGGTGTGCACCACCACCGCCCAGCTGGGCAAGCTGGTTTCTTAAAAGATAAGTAAAGATTGTGAAAAAAAGCTCGCTGGTACTGAGCCGGCCTGTCTGGACTTCAGCAGTAGCTTAGGTACGAATCATGGCTTCTGTGCTCGATGTACAGTTCACAGAGGAATCCGGGAGGAGGAACGGATGGTCAGTAAGCCAGCTGTGGGTGCCAGAGGTCCCACCCAAGAGTGCTTTCATCGAGTGTCCGACATAAAGATGAGTGTGAGGCAGGGGGCTCGGGAAGAGACTAAAAGCAGAAAGATTTAGGGGACACTGGTGAAACAGCTCATTCAGAGCAGACAGAAGGGCCAGAAGAAGGAGGTGGAAGCGGAATACTGCAAACCTTCCAAAGGAGGAGAGGGAAGCGGTCCTTAAGAAAGAATTAAAAAAAAAAAAGTGCAGTTTTTCTCTTCAAAAATCCATCAGCATTACCTGGTGCAAGCGTAGGCAGGATGCAGTCAAGATTTGATTACGACAATCAACTAAAGCACATAGAATTTCTCGCCCCACCCCCGCCCCCCCCTTGGCTGATGTGGCTGTGTCTGTCCCTGTACTGCTTTCCGTGAGGCAGATATCCACTGTGACAGGTAATTCATCAGGCAAGAGTAGCTTCAGGACACCGACCAATGAGCCATCTTCCTGATTCTGGCTGCCTTTGGGTCTGAATAGTCTGTTGGTCTCTGAAGAATGGGAGGAACCAGTATTCAGATGACGTCATACGGGTCCCTGAGCCTTGTCTATAACCAAATGAACCACAAGTTAAGGCTTAGAAAAAAAATATTTCAGAAATTTTATGTTAAGGTTGCTTTGCAGCCGGGCGGTGTTGGCGCATGTCTTTAATCCCAGCACTTGGGAGGCAGAGGCAGGCGGATCTCTGAGTTCGAGGCCAGCCTGGGCTACAGAGTGAGTTCCAGGACAGGCACCAAAGCTACACAGAGAAACCCTGCCTCAAAAAAAAAAAAAAAAAGGTTGCTTTGCCTGCGTGTCTGTGTACCACGTGCATGCCTGGTGCCCATGAAGGCCCAAAGAAGGAAAGCGTCAGGAGAGGAGTTACGACAGCTGTGAGCTGGCCTGTGGGTGCTAGAAATTGGGTGCTAGTCCTCTGGAAGGGCAGCCAGTGCTCTTTCCTGCTGAGCCATCTCTTGTGCAACTCCTAAAAAGAAATTTTAATATATATTTAAAACATTTAAACAAAGCCAGACATGGTGGCACACACCTTTAATCCTAGCCCTCAAGAGGCAGAGGCAGGTGGATGTCTGGAGAGTTTGAGGGCAGCCTGGTCTGCACAGCAAGTTCCAGGCTGCACCCAGAGCAACATAGAGAGACCCTGTCCCATCCCATATAACAACAACGAAAGCCAAGCTGGGCATAGGGGTACACAGCTGTATTCAGAAGACAGAAGCAGGGGGATTGCCACAAATTTGAAGCCAGCCTGGATATATAAGGAGGTCCAGGTCAGCCAAAGATGCATAACGAGACTTGCTTTTTTAAAAATAAATTATTGGGGGAAGGGAAGGGGAAAAAAATAAATTATTGTGTTGCATTTTTTATTGAAATAAAATGTGCTATGATTCATTTACAGAGTCTTCAAAATAAGTTTTTTTTAAATATTCAAAGAATGGATTGATGACAGAAACAAACACTGTATAATATTGAAGAAAAAGAATCTCTACGTAGCCCAGGCTGGCCTCAAGCTCACCATCTCCCTGCCTTAGCCTTTGGAGGGTTGAGACTGTTAAGATTTATTGTTGGACCCATTTTTACTAATGTGTCTCTGTGTGGGTGTGTACATGTGAGTGCAGTGCCTACAGGGGTCAGAGCTATGGGATCCCCTGGAGCTGGAGTTACAGGAGGTTGAGAGCTGCCTAATGTGGATGCTGGGAATTGAACTTGGGTCCTCTGCAAGAGCAGCAGTACATACGTACTCTAAACTGTGGAGCTGTCTCTCCACACCCCAGAAGCAATTTGTTAAGCCCTTTCTGTTTACCAGATGCTATGCTTAGAACTTTAAGTGTGTGACCTAGAAGCATGTACATTTTTTCACTTAAAAATCTACAAAAATGGGGGCCAGCAAAATGGCTCAGAGGGTAGAAGCGCTTGCTACACAGTCCTGATGACCTGAGTTCAGTCCCCAAAACTCACCTTAAAAAGCCAGCTGCGGGCTGGAGAGATGGCTCAGTGGTTAAGGGCACTGACTGCTCTTCCAGAGGTCCTGAGTTTAATTCCCAGCAACCACATGGTGGCTCACAACCATCCATAATGAGATCTGGTGTCCTCTTCTGGTCCGCAGGCATACATGCAGGCAGAACACCATATAGATTAATAATAAATCTTTACAAAAAAAAAGGCGGGCAGCTGCAGTGTTACACATCTGTAATCCAGCGCACCTGTATTGAGGTGGGAGGTGGAGACAGGAGAAGCTTGGGGACCAGTTAGCCGGGAGGATGCAGTGTATCAGACAGGAGAGGAATGACCCCTGTCGCTCTGACCTCCTAATGCTTACTGTGGCACACACACATCTACCCTCACAGACACACAGTATAATCAATTTTTAAAAATTGAAAATACAACAAGTTAAAGGCCAACCTGGCTTATCTGAGCCCCTTGAAAGAAAGAAATGGACAGGAAGATGGAAAAAAAAAAAAAAAACAAAACCTTGCTCTCACCTGCCCTGAGTGTCTTGAACCACAGTGAACGGAGAGAATTGACTCCCAGATTTGTCCTTCTAAACTCTGCACAGCTGCCCTCGCTCACACAGGAGGAGACAGGAGGATTGCCCTGAGTTTCCAGTTAGCCTGGGCTGCAGAATGATACCCAGTCTCAAAGTTGAATAAATTATGGGGAACTGGATCTGTGGCTAAAGCGCTCGCGCAAGCGGCACAAAGAATGTAATTGAAAGCCTCGGGTCACCCTTTTACAAAGCGGGGGACTGGGGGCTCCCCACCTGTAATCCATGGCTCAGTAGGCTGAGTCTGGGTCCTCAAAGCAAGCTGGCTAGGTAGGCTAGTCGTATGGCGAGCTCTAGGTTTGCCTGAGAGACCCTGCCTATGGGGGCGTGGGGGCGTGGCGGCGTGGCGCATGCCTTTCATCCCGGCACTCGGAGGCAGAGCCAGGCAGATCTCTGAGTTCGAGGCCAGCCTGGTCTACAGAGCGAGATCCAGGACAGGCTCCAAAACGACACAGAGAAACCCTGTCTCAGAACAAAAGTGGGGAGGGGGCGGGGAAGAGCAGTCAGGAACAATTCTCACATGAGCCTCAGCTCCAGGTGCACACCACAGGCATACGTGAAAATGGAAGGGTGGGAGAATCTTGCTTTCAAATTATAAAAATTTTATATATGTGTGTGTGTGTGTGTGTGTGTGTGTGTGTGTGTGTGTGTGTGTGTATATGTGTGTATGTGTATGTATACATGTAATTGTCTGTGGAGTTAGCTCAGTTAGTAAAGTCCTCTACAAGGACTTGAGTGACATCCATTACCCACCCTTCTCCCCTCCCCTCCCCTCTCCTTCCCCTCCCCTCCCCCCATTCCATCCTCTAGCTGTCTGGTTCTCTTGCTCTCGCTCTCTCTGTTTTTCAAGTCAGGATTTCTCTGTAGAGTTCTGACTGTCCTCACTCTGTAGACCAGGCTGGCCTCAAACTCACAAACATATGCCTGCCTCTGCCTCCTGAGTACCACTGCCCCCCAAGCACTGTGACTAAAGGTGTGTGCCACCACCACCTCGATCAGTTGCCACACTTTAAAACTTAAATTTGTTTTGGTTTTTGAAATGTGGCCTCTTTTTCTTAGTTTTTCAAGACAGGGTTTCTCTGTGTAGCTTTGGAGCCTGTTCTGGAACTCATTCTGTAGCCCAGGCTGGCCTCCAACTCACAGAGATCTGCCTGCCTCTGCCTCCCTGGTGCTGGGATTAAAGGTGTGTGCCGCTCCCGCCCAGCTTGAGATCTTGTAGCCCAAATCCAGCCTTGAACTTGATAGACACCAAGGCTAGCCTCACACTCCTGATCCCCCTGCCTCTACCTCCAAGGTGCTGTGATTACAGGTGTGCTGCACCATGCCCAGCTTCAGAACTACTTTATTTCTTTTGTGCGCATGTGTGGAAGTCAGACAGAGGACAACCCTCAGGAGTTGGTTCTCTGCTGCCACTTGGTAGGACTGAACTCAGGTCACCAGGCCAGACCTGTGGCTGGCACATTTACCTGCTGAGCCAGAGACCCCAGAACTATTTTCTAATCTGTTTTTAATTATGTATAAAGTGAGTTTCATTTTTCAGTTATTTTTCTAATAATAGGTTCCATATATTTATCCTTGCACATCTTGCCTCCCCCACCCTGGGGGGTGGGGAGTATGGGAAACGGCGTGCTTCCGGAAGTGGTGACAGAACTTAAGAACGCTAAGGTCTTCACACTTGTGAGTAGATTCAGAAGGCTGTTTTCACTCTTCCCTAGGACAGTGACATCCTCAAGTCCCAGAGCTCGGGAAGACAGCTGGCTCAAGTCCTTATTTGTCAGAAAGGTAGATCCGAGAAAAGACGCACACTCCAACCTCCTGGCCAAGAAGGAGACGAGCAGTCTGTACAAGTTACAGTGTGAGTAGGGGCTCGGCTGTCCTTGTGCGCCACTCTGTCCGTCCCTCTGTCCATCTGTTCAGAAGTTCATCCTTGCATTTTCTTTTTGTTTCAGTTCACAACGTTAAGCCGGAATGCCTAGACGCATACAACAAAATTTGGTGTGTATCTCAAGCTGTCATTTCCCCGGGGTGGGTGGGGGTTGCATGTAATGATTTTCATATGTGTTGGCTCGGCTAACACTCCATAGCAGAGGAGAGATCTTTGATCTCCCTAAAGCTGAATGTTCAGAGGTTGGCCTGAGTTCCAGGAGGGGCTGTCAGTGGCGTCTTGGTCTTAAGCACTCACACAGCTCCCTCGTCAGAACCCAGGAAGACCCTCTTATCCATCTGTGACTCTGGCCTTGGGTCTGTTCAGGCCCTCCTGGCTGCCTGTGGGTAAAAAACTCCCCTCTCTGGACAACTTGGAGTGTTAGCAGTTCCAAATACGATCTCCATTGTTTTTCCCTAAGAAGTCCCGTGTGAGGAACTGGGGTGGGCTTGGTGACTGAGTCTGTCATGCCAGCGCTTGGAAGGTGAAGACACAAAGATTAAGAGTTCAGAGTCATTCTTGATTATGTAGTGAGTTCCAGGCTGGAGGGCAGCTTGGGCTGCAATGTGAAACTCTTCCTAAAACTTTGAAAAATTAGCTAGCTGTGGTGGTGCATGCCTTTAATGCCAGCACTCGGGAGGCCAAGGGAGGCAGATCTCTGAATTCAAGGCCAGGTTGGTCTACAGTAGTGAGTTCCAGGCCAACTAGTGCTATATAGAGACACCCTATCTGGCTATCCGCCCCCCCCCCCCCCCGAATATATTAAAAATAAAGGATCCGGAAGGATGGTTCAGTGGTTAAGAGCACCTGTTGCTCTTTGCAGAGGGACCTGGGTTCAGTTCCCAGCACTCCCATGATGACTAATAACTTACTCTTCTGTTGCTGTGCTGTGATGCCGTGACCAAGGCAACGCACAGAAGAAACATTTTATTGGGAGCTTACCATTTCAGAGGATGAGTCTGTGGCCATCATGTTTGGGAGCATGGCAGGCAGGCAGGCAGGCAGGCAGGCAGGCAGGCAGGAGGTAGCTGGTAGAGCAGTGGCCCTTAGCTTACATCCTGATCCACAAACATGAGGCAAAGAGAGCTAACTGGGAATGGCATGGACCTCAAAGTCTACCCCTCACCCCATGACACACCTCCTCCAACAAGGCCACACCTCCTAATCCTTCTCAAAGTTTCACCAGCTGGGGACCAAGCATTCAAATATATGAGCCTCTGGGGTCCATTCTCATTTAAACCACCACCAGTTCCAAGGGATATAGCGCCCTCTTCTGACCTCCACAGTTACTGCATGCACATGGTACACAAACCATACACGCAAAACTACCTATACACATAAAATAAAAATAAATATTGAGCCGGGCGGTGGTGGCGCACGCCTTTAATCCCAGCACTCGGGAGGCAGAGCCAGGCGGATCTCTGTGAGTTCGAGGCCAGCCTGGTCTCCAAAGCGAGTTCCAGGAAAGGCGCAAAGCTACACAGAGAAACCCTGTCTCGAAAAACCAAAAAAATAAAAAAATAAAAAAAAAATAAAAATAAAATAAATATTGGCCACGAGTGGTGGCACATGGCTTTAGTCCCAGCACTTGGGAGACAGAGACAGGCCAGTCACTTTAGTTTGAGGCAAGTTTGGTCTACAAAGAGAGTACCAGGATATCCAGGGATACGTAGAAAAACCCTGTCTCAAAATAATAATAATAATAACAATAATAATAATAATAATAAACCTTTAAGTAATAAATATAACCCAAACCAAAGATGTTTATCTCTTGGTTTTTCCCTCACAAAATGATAATTTTCTCTGTGCTTATGCTTCCCTGGGTCATCTTTCTAGCCTGTGTTAGATTCCTGGCTGTATGTCTTGTATGTGTTTGGACAGCTTACACTCACTTCAAACTCAACACCCCAAATCACCCGCTCTCCTTCTGTCCCTGCCATGTTCTGTTTAACTCTTTCCTGGATTCTGGGAGATCAGTCACTGAGGGCTGGCGTTCTTCACCTGCCTTGTCGTTGACCTCCCTGTACTTTCCTCCTCCCTCTTCCTCTTGGCCTACCGAGCCCCGTCCCCAAGTTACCTTCTCCTCTGGCTGCCCTCCTGACTGGAGCGACATGTCCCTTAGCAACCCGTTACCCCAGAGTCTGTCCGGTTGATCTGCCTGAGTTCTGTTTTCTTCCCTCATCATGGTTTATTTTTTTTTTTTGTTTGTTTGTCTGTTTTCCTTTTCTTTAAAACTTCCTGCAGCACCTGATCCCATAACCTAACTGCTGCCTGGCCCTTAGGGGCCCCTGTCAAGAGACTCCACCCAACCCACCCAGTTCTCAGTACAAGTACCACCTGTCTCCTAGCCTCCGCTTAGATAAGGCCTGGGCTTGTAAGAGCAAGTCTGGGGCCCCTGCATGAAGAACTGACTGATTCCATATGTTGGTCTGTGCGGATGAGAAGCCTAGGGCCCAATGTAATTCCCTTCCCCACCCCTCCCCCAGACCTTTCTAGACCCCACCCTGGTTGTCCATACTGTCACTCCTCTGCAGTAGCTCCACTGCACAGTTCATTTACTTCCTGCTCACATCAGGGCACAGAAGGAAACTCATCTTGAACTTACCTCCCCACCCCCACCCCAGATCTGCATTATTTAAGAAAATCAACGTACACAAAAAAGTAAATGTCACCTCTCAAGAGGCAGGCATGGGCTATCCTTGGCCGTGCACACCTATGATTCCAGACTTCCAGAATCTGAGGCAGGATTGTGAGTTCAAGGCCAGCCAGGAATATGTAGTAACAAGACCTTGTCTCAAAAGCAACAACAAAATTTAGATGTATGTAACTCTAATCGGACATAGGCCCACTGGAGGGTAAGGGGCAGAGGCAGGAGATCGATGCAAGTTTGAAGCCTGTATAATTTACAGAGCAAGTTCCAGGCTGGCCAGGGCTACCCAGCAAAATCCTGTGTTCAAAAACAAAAAAGCAAACAAAAACAAACAAACAAAAAAACCAACTAGGCAGTGGTGGCGCATGCCTTTGATCCCAGCACTCGGGAGGCAGAGGCAGGCTGATCTCTGTGAGTTTAAGGCTATCCTGGTCTACAGAGCGAGTTCTAGGACAGCCAAAGCCACACAGAGAAACCCTGTCTCAAAACAAAAAACAAAAAAACCACTAAAACAACACGTAGTATTTGTCTCCGGCCTACTATTATGGTCTGTTGTCAGCAGATAGATGGAACCAGTAACGTTTCTTTTTTCTTTCAGTTTTTTGAGACAAGGTCGAATATTAATTTTCTGTATAGCCAGGCATGGTGACATATGCCTATAATGCTGGTACCTAGAAAAAAATCAGTCCCAAGTGTAAGGTCCTTATCAGCTATATGAGACCCTGTGTATACCATAGGAAGGTTTCCGTGGAGTTAAGCTTGGATAGAACACCCGTGAAAAGTCACACATGGCCTTGACTTGTGGGGGCTCAGGCACCCATCCTGCTCTTGGCGGTCCTGGATTGGCTGGCGTGTTCATTGTGATGCTTCTGAGATCCCTATAGCTGGCTGAATTGAATGGAACCAATTGTTGCTTCGAGTGTATACTTGATTTTGATTCTTCCACATTGTTATACCACGCTGGTGGCCTTGGGGACTACAGAGGCAGGCTTGCTTCATCCCACTGTGTTTGGTTGTTGTCTTTCTTCCCGAAGTCCTGCTCCCACTGCCTTGCTCTGCTGAGCTAGCTGCCCATCCTTCGTCCCTGTCTTGAATGCTTCCCCCCACTTTCTGATTTCTTCCATGATCTTGTATCTAATTCTTATCTTTCTTTCTTTATGGGAACCAGCAGAACTTAACTTTCATAAACATCACATCCCTAAATAGCCTTTTTTCTTCTTTCTCCTAAAATAGCAAATAGTAGAAGCCATAGCTCCTGGACTCTGGGACCTTTGGTCCTTTGTAAACACCTTTATCACATTCCAGGAGTTGCTTGTAAATACCCTGGAGTTAAAGCCTAAGCTGTTGATAAATGGGTGCTGACAGACAACAGAATTTGGCTAACACTTCAGTTCCGGACATCATCTTACAAATAGGCCATAGGGGGCTGGAGAGATAGCTCAGTGGTTTAGAGGACTGGTTACTCTAGCAGAAGACTCAGGTTTGACTCCCAGCACCCACACGGTGGCTTACAACCATCTGTAACTCTAGTTCCAGGGGATCCGATGCTCTCTTCTGGCCTCTGTGGGCATCAGGCACACACATGGTACACAGACATACATGCAGACAAAACACTCATACCCATAAAATAAATAAATCTGGGGCTGGAGAGATGGCTCAGAGGTTAAGAGCACCGACTACTCTTCCAGAGGTCCTGAGTTCAATTCCCAGCAACCACATGGTGGCTCACAAACATCTGTAATGAGATCTGGCACTCTCTTCTGTATACATAATAAATAAATAAATCTTTAAAAATAAATAAATAAATAAATAAATCTGAAATAAAATAAAACACATAACGCTGTGGGGTCAGTTGCTAGAACACATGGTAAGTGGTTGCATCCAATTGATGCTCCTGTGCTGTCTACGGGGAAATCTCTCCCCTGTTTAATCAGCTCTGCTGTTTTTTCTCTTTAAGTCAAGAAGTGTTACCAAAGATTCATGAAGGCAAGCAGTACCCTTGTACCTTGGTAGGAACATGGAACACGTGGTATGGCGAGCAGGATCAAGCCGGTAAGAAGCAGAAGTCTTTGGGATAAGTATCTTTGTGCTACTTTGCAGTCATTCAAATTATTTTGCAATGTAATGCTTGTTTTTACAGTCCTTTTCAAGCCCCATCTGGTTTCATGGATCAAGTGGTTTCTTCAGTAACTCACTGTAAAAGTTACTTTTTTTTTTAATGTTCAAATCTGTTATGGAAACTTTGTAATATAAGTCAATGGCAGATACAAGGCATACTACAATGTTGTACCATGTTCATATAGTAGATACAAGGCACACTACAATGTTGTACCATGTGCATATGGTAAATACAAGGCACACTACAATGTTGTACTGTATTCATGTAGTGGATATGAGGCACACTACAATGTTGTACCATGTTCATGTGGTAGATACAAGGTACACTACAGTGTTGTAACATGTTCATATGGTAACTACAAGGTACATTACAATGTTTTACTGTGTTCATGTGGTGGATGTAAGATGCACCTTGTACTATGTTCACCAGGTGGATACAAGGTACACTACAATGTTGTACTGTGTTCATGTGTTGGATATAAGATACAGTACCATGTTGTACTGTGTTCATGTGTCGGATATGAGGCACACTACAATATTGTACTGTGTTCACATGGTGGGTACAAGGCACACTACAGTGCTATACTGTATTCACGTGACAGGCATCTATATTGTCTAGGTAAGAGTGCCTTGAGACTAAATGTGTGCTGTCCTTTAAAATGCATTTCAGTCCACCTCTGGAGGTATGAAGGAGGCTATCCAGCCCTCACGGAGGTCATGAATAAACTCAAAGAAAACCAGGTAACAATTTTGGGGAAAAAATTTATTTATAGATAATAGATATGCTTGTGTAGTCTAATGATACAGGGTGTATTCACACAGAACTTCATGAAGACACAGTTATCAGCTTTTGTTAGTAAACCATTTAGTTTTCATAGTAGAAATTTAATCATATCAGCTCTTAAAATTGTATGTAAGCATGAAATTACTAGATTTAATACTATCAAAATCACAATTCCTCCATGAACATTGAAATTGATGAGACAAGACCCTAATACTGGCCAAGCTGCATGGTAGACACAGCCCTAGATTACAATTAGAAACTGTCAGCCTCATACATTGTTTTCAATTTTTCAGTTTTTGTTTGTTTGTTGGAGACGGTCTCATATAGCTCAGGCCAACCTCAAACTCCTTATGTACCCAGGGATGGCCTTAAGTTCCTGATTCTCCTGCCTTCCCAAACTCCAGGATCATAGGTCTGTGCCACTGTCCCTGGGGTATGTGCTGCTGTGGATCAAACCCCCAGCTCAGTAGTTTAGAGGGCTTGTTGCTCTTGTGGAAGACTGAGGTTTGATTCCAACACCCACAGTTCTAGGGGGTCTGATGCCCTCTTCTGACCTCCATGGGTGCCAGGGATATGCATAGTGTGCATATATTCATGCAAACTAACATTCATACACATGAAATAAAATAAATCCTTGAAAAAAAATCTGGATACATTAGGAAGTGGAAAGGAATGCTGTATTCATTATTTCAGTGCAATAGATAAAAAATAAGATGGTCTTACTTATAACCATATCCTGTGGAATTTAGTTGTTACTAAAGTATATTTATATATGTAAGTATCCGAAGATTTCACGAGCATGTTTTTTTTTCACCCAAAGGAATTTGTAAATTTCCGTAAAGCCAGAAGTGACATGCTTCTCTCCAGGAAGAATCAGCTGCTGTTGGAGTTCAGTTTCTGGAATGAGCCAGTGCCGAGATCAGGACCCAATATATACGAACTCAGGTCCTACCAGCTCCGAGTAAGTAGGGAACGCAGGCGGTGTCCCTGACACAGACAGTAAAACAGAAGTGAGCGCTTTGTTACGTGTGTTTAGTGTCTTACATGTATTTTTCAAGGGTGGTGGCAGTGATTGGAAACAGGGTCTGGCCTTGGCTGTTTAGCCCAGGCTGGCCTTGAACTTGAGCTCCTGCCATAGTCTCCTGAGTGCTGGGATTGCAGACATCCAGCACCACATCCGCCTTATATTTTGATTAGACTTGTTTTCTCCCAATCTAGTCTTTTTTGTTTTACTTTTCTCTCTCTCTCTCTCATCCTTTTTCTCTTGCTAAGTTCTTTTGTATTTATGGCATTATATATAGTGTTTGTTACTTGATGTTTTTCCAAGTAATTTTTTTGAGGGTGGCTTCAAACTTAGTATGTAGCCAGGGTTAGCCCTGAACTCTTGGCCCCCCTGCTTCTACCTCCCGAGCACTGGGATCACAGGTGTGCACCACCATATACATAAAAATAAATTTAAAAAATTAAGAATTGTGAGCCGGGCGGCGGTGGCGCACGTCTTTAATCCCAGGGCCAGGCGGATCTCTGAGTTGAGACCAGCCTGGTCTACAGAGTGAGATCCAGGACAGGCACTAAAACTACACAAGAAAACCCTGTCTCAAAAAAAAAAAAAAAAAAAAAAAAAAAACCCCAAAAAAAACCGAGCTCTGTGCAAGCCAGTAAACACTCTATCAACTGAACTACGTTACATCCCTAGCCCCCCAATAACATTTTGTTTGAGGAAACACCTTGAGTGCAGAACCAGGCACAATGTACAGCAACTACACTTGCTGAACCAAGAGTGCCTAATAAACACTGAGTGTTGCACAAATTCTACAGCGCTGTCTGTGTGAGAAGGAGAGTGAGCCAGGCCTGGTGGCGATTGCCTTTAATTCCAGCACTTGGGAGGCCAAGGCAGGCAAGTCTCTGAGTTCAAAGCCACCCTGATCTATATAGCAAGTTCTAGGATAGCCATGGCTACATAGAGAAATCTTATCTCAAAAAAAAAAAACCAACAAAAAAGAACTGAATAAAAAGTGGGAATGCTTTTTTTTTTCCAACTTTCTAAACGTGTCCCTCCTGTGTACTAAAAAGAATGACCTAGATATAGCCCCATTTTTATTGATTGTACATACAATAGAAAACATGGTTAATTACATCCGTGAACCATCTTCTTTGTATACACATCCTTCGCCCTTGCCAGACTCCAGTGGCGGCAGCATTACAAGGTGTCCATCTCTGTGATCTAATGATCAGTGCATCAGAGGATGACCCGACAATGGTTTCATCACCATCCGTGGGTGACTTACTCTTAGAGTATGTGTGGGTTGTTTTCTCATAGGACCCCGTAAACTGCTACAGTGATGGCAGAGGAACACTGCAAATGATCACAGGTTTGTTCCTATTCTTTATGTTTTCATACCACTAACCAAACTCTAAATTCCCTTTCAGCCAGGGACAATGATCGAATGGGGCAATTACTGGTAAGTACGTTATTATGTTGAGTTTGTCAATCCCATGAATTATTTTAAGCCATGTCATGAATGATTTTTGTTTTGCCTTTTTGAGACAATCTCATAATCTCATAACCCAGCCTACCTTCAGATGCACTATGTAACCAAGACAGGCCTTGAACTCCTGATCCTTGTGCCTCCGCCTCCCAGGTTCCTGGACTTCCAGGTGTGTGTGTCACCACATCTGGCTCATACTGTAAATCCTTAAGTTAAAAAAAAACAACTTAAATGCCTTGACTTAGTGCTGCATTTTTCACAGAGTCTCTCACTACGTTGCCAGGATAGTCTTGAATGCCTGGGCTCTAATGCGCCTCCTTCCTCCACCTCCAAAGAAACTGGACGTGCAGACACACACCACCATCCTTTTTTTTTTTTTTTTTTCTTGAGGGGAGGCGGTTTTAAGATTTATTTTTCTTTTGTGTGTCTGGGCATCTTGTCTGCATGTACGTCTGTGCACTGCATGCATGCAGTACCCACAGAGTCCACAAGAGAGTGTTGGAGCCTCTGGAACTGGAGTTACAGGTGTTTGTTACCCACCATTGTGAGTGTTGGGAACCAAACTTGGTCCTCTGGAAGACCGGCAGGTGCTCTTAACTACAGAGCTGTCTCTCCAACCTCTGCCCGATCTGTCTTCTGTAATTGTCTTTTTACTACGTTTTGGTTTGTTATTGGTAGGGCATGGTGCCTGCGGAAGCCAGAGGACAGCCTCCTGGAGTTGCCTCTTTCCTTCTGCCGTATGAATCCCAAGGATGAAACGCAGGTCGTCAGGTTTGGCTGCAAGAGCCTTTAACAAACCCTGAGTCATCTTGCTGGCCCCTGGTTTAGATGGCTTTGTTTTATGTTTTTATGAAAAAATTCAAACATGTACAAAACTAGACAGAACAATATAGCGGATCCCCCATTCTATACTTATTTCTAAGCTTCCATAATAATTTTTTAAAGTAATTTCTATTTTTATTTCATGTTCATTCATGTTATGCCTGCATATATGTCTGTGTGAAGGTGTTGGATCCCCTAAAACTGGAGTTACAGGCACTTATGAGCTGCCATGTTGGTGCTGGGAATTGAACTTGGATCCTCTAGAAGAGCAGACAGTGTTCTTAACCAATAAGCCAACTCTTCAGCCCTGCTTCCATAATATTAACACAAGTCAAATATCACATATAATCCCACCACTTAGTAGGCTAACGTGGGACAGTCACAAGACATAGGAAGACCCTGTCTCAAAAAACAAAACAAACAACAAACAAAAACACATACACAAAAATAAATCACTAACACATGGCCAGTCATGTTTAGGTCTAACTCTTCCAGTTAAGACTCTTAGGAATTACCAAGAGCACATGCTGTTTAATCCATAACCCTTTCAGCATACATCCTTTCAAAGGGGCTTGCAAACCAAGTCCCAGTACTGTGTGACACTATTCTGTACACTTCTTGAGGGGTATCTCCTCAGGAATCTGGGGTTTGTTTACTAACAGAACAGCTGGGGTTGATGATGCAGCTCTTTTTCTTTCTGTAGTTTGAGTAGCAAAGTACCAGTGCAAACTAAAACAGACCAAGTAGGAAGATTGACAATTCTCTTCAAAAACCTGTACCTTAAGCCTTACGTTGTGTGGCTTATGCCTGTAATCCTACTCAAGGAGGTCGAAGCAGGAAGATTGCCGCAGGTTAGATGCCAGCCTGAGATACAATGGAAGATGTTGTCTTTAAAAAGTATAGTCTTGCCGAGCGGTGGTGGCACATGCCTTTGATCCCAACACTCAGGAGGCAGAGGCAGGCGGATCTCTGTGAGTTCTAGATGAGCCTGGTCTACAGAGTGAGTTCCAGGACAGGCTCCAAAGCTACACAGAGAAACCCTGTCTTGAAAAAACAGAACAAACAAACAAAAAAAAAGTATGGTCTTGGCACATGGATAAGCGTATAGACCAGTGGTACAGAACTGAAGGGCTAGAAATTAACATTTGATGGCATTTATGAGCAGGTTCTTTTTGACAAATATGCCAAAGTAAATCTTCCTACAGTGAGGGAAGATAATTATTTAATCAAAGAGTGTCAGGAAAATTGGGTATATGAAAAAAGAGTTTACACTCCTGGCTTACATTGTATAAAAATATGAACCAACTCAAGGGCCTGGAGAGATGGCTCAGCAGTTAAGAGCATTATTTGCTGCTCTTGTAGAGTAGGGTTGAGTTTTTTTGGTTTTGTTTTTTTCTGAGACAGGGTTTCTCTGTGTAGCCCTGGCTGTCCTGGAACTCACTTTGTAGACCAGGCTGACCTTGAACTCAAAAGATCCGCCTGCCTCTGCCTTCTGAATCCTGGGATTGAAGGCATGCACAACCAACCCAGCATCAGGTTGGGTTTTTAACCACCATGGAAGTTCATAACCATTTGTAACTCCAATTTCAGGGGACGCTGATGCCGTCTACTGGCCTCCAAGGGTGCTGTATACACACAGTGCACATACATACATGCAGGTAGACAGACACTCATAAACATAAAATAAAAATAAACATTTCTTTAAATGTAAGAACTGAAGCATGAAAAAAGCCCAGGGAAAATCTTTGTTAGTCTGAACTAGCAAAAGTTCTTAGGTTCAGTACAAAAGTTCAATCTAGCTAGGTGTGGTAGAACACACTGTGCTCCCAGCACTGGGGAGGTAGAGGCAGGAGGATCAGGAGATCAAGGCTATCCCCAGCTACATAGCAAGTTTGAAACCAGCCTGGGCTACTGAGACCCTGCCTCAAACAAATTAAAAAAAAAACATATTTGATTATGTGCTATGATAGGTACCATTTTTGTCAAGGGGTTTTTGTTCATGTTTCTGAGCTGTTTGTGTTAGCTTATAGCAGTTTAGATGTTCATACAACTAAGATGTTACTAATGAATATTTTTTCACAGTGAATCCACAGGATATGTTGAGGTTACTCAGCTCTTTTCAACCTTTTCTATAGCCAGTTCAGCATTTGATTTGTATTTTGGCACGTAGGTAACTATTAAGATGGTGGTCTCCTCCGCAGCACACATTTCTGATTATTACCAGGCTACGGCAAGTATATTTCCTTTGCCTTCCATAACTGAATTAGAAAACTTCAGAATGAAACTAATAATCCAGATTATTTTATCACTGTCAATGAAAACCTCTTTTCTTCCTCCTGAGCAGTTACAGCGCACAGTTCAGTTGATTTCCTTAATTCAAGATAATTGATCACATTTGTAATTTTTATGACCATATCTGTATAATTTGTGGGTAACCCATGGTGGATTCACAACAGAGGAACCTAGAGGCCTTGGTGGGGTCACACTTTGGGTACTCCATGTACATGAATGAGAGTGGAGGTGTACAAAGTGGTCTTCAGCAAGCTGGCCTCATCACTAACCGGACAGGTTGCTCCCCTGTTTCTGAGCCCTGTTAAGGTGTTAGAATTGAGTCTGTGAAGTTTCCCTTCAGTAAGAGAACACATTGGTCAGGCCAGCTGGAGAATCTTGCTCCTTACTGGGCACAGAAGTGCACACCTGTGGTCCTAGCATTTGGCAAGCTGAGGCAAGATCATGATTTCAAGGCTAGCCTGGGCTAACATAGTAGGCCCTATCTCAAAGAAAAATGTAAAGCATCGGTCCCATAAGGGTTATTTTTTCTCACTGTAGATGTTCATAGCTTATTTTTCAGGTTCTGGTTATTTAAATAAATGAGGGTGAATCTCTCTCCCCAAATTTCATCAACGCTAAACCCTTCATGTGCCTGAGACCAGGCCAGAGCTTGGGAAGTAGTAACACTGATTACCTGGGTAGTCCATGGTAAAGACACCCTTGATACACCCCAGCTTTGCTCTCCTGGTGAGATGGGAGCCCTACATCATTTGAAGCCCTGCCTTCATTTTTATTGGGAATGATAGAAAATTAATTTTGAGAAAAATTCATTTTTAAACATTTTCAAGATTTCAGGTGCTCTCACTGAATGTGAAAACAGAGTCCCTGGTAGAAGAAGATGTTTAAGGTTTTTGTTTTTGTTTTTGTTTTGTTTTTGTTTTTTGAGACAGGGTTTCTCTGTGTAACAGCTCTGGCAGTCCTGGAACTCGATTTGTAGACCAGGCTGGCCTCGAACTCACAGAGATCCACCTGCCTCTGTCTCTCAAATGCTGGGATCAAAGGTGTGTGCCACCACTGCCAGGCCTGTTTTTATCGATTTTAAATGTGTATGTGTGTATACACACACACATGCATGCTTCTATGGAGATCAGCAGTGATCAGAGTCCTGGAAGTTGTGGCTGTAGGTGGTCACGAGCTGTCTGGGGAATTGAACCTGGGTCCTCTAGAAGACCAGCAAATACTCTCAACACTGAGCTCTCTCCAGAACCAGATGCCCATTTTAAACCACTTCAATCATGACTCCATGCTGTGTGTATCAATAGCACATGTGTATGCACACCCTCCACACATATGACCGCCACCTCTGGCTTTCACAGTCTTCCTGCCCATCTTCCGCATAGATCCCTGAGTTTTTGTGTGTTTATAGGACTGAACACTCCAAAGCCCCTTATTCTCTGCATGTGGACCAGTTGTGGGTCTCTGTGTTAACTGCCATCTACAAGGAAAGCTCCAATGAGGATTGAGCAATGTACTACTGATCTATGGGTCTGGGAATTACATTTTATTACTCTATCCATTTAACAGAATAATAGTAGCAGGTTGTCCCCTAGGGCCTATAATGTATTCTCAGATCTTGGCCTCATTAATGGTATCAGATATGGATTCCACCTCATGGAATAGGCCTTAAATATAACCAAAAAATAGTTGGCTTCCCCAATAACGTTAGTGCTGCCATTGTACCGGTGGGCATATCTTGTGAGGAAAGTTACTGTAGATTGCAAAGTTCACAGCCATGAAGCGGTTCCTTTTAAGTTAACAGCTCTCCTCCCCTTCCAGTTTATATCAAGAATCAGAAGTATAAATTTAAATTTAGTAATAAGCAGAAGTGCCACCATATATCTTTATTTGCTGTTTTTATTCTGAAAAGTCATAATTAAATATTATCTACTTCTCACAAAAATAATTAGGAGGCTGAGGCAAGAAAATCACGCATCTGGGGTCATCTGGCCTACATAGTAAATTCTAAGCTTAACCTGGGGTACAGAATGAGATCCTAACTTCCCCCAAAAATAAATAAAATAAAAACTTGATTGTATTTAATGATTTGATACGTGTTCGAAGAAAACAGTCTTCATTCCCACCCGCTGGCTCCGAGTGGAGGAAATACAGTCTGAGTCTTTGCTTCGATGGGAAAGGGTCTCGTTCCATAGCATGGGCTGGCCTGGACTCGCTGTGCAGCCCAGGCTGGTCTCCCTCGGTCTTTGCCTTCCGAGTGCTGGGGTCACAGGTGTGCATCAGCATCCCCGAGCGCCGGCTGACTCTCCCTAACCATCGGAACACTGCTTTTCTCTCACAGGGCCCGAGCCATTCGCTTTAGACAGGACAGTAATGAGGCAGTTGGGGGATTCTTCTCTCAAATTGGGCAGCTATATATGGTGCATCATCTTTGGGGTATGTGTATTTTTCCTTCTTTTGTGACTTACCGGGATTGAATTCATTACTAACAAAGTTGTGACACACAGCGGGGTAAATCTAGACTCGGTAACCTTAAACCCTATAGCAGACGCAAAGGTCACAGGTGGATGGTAAATGCTGGGCTTTCTAGAACAAAAAAAAAAGACCATCGGCAGAGGCCAGTGGATCGCTGGCTTATAAACTGGCAGCAAGTCGGCCTCAAGTCAGATGAGTGGGCGCGGCTGTAATCCCAGCACTCAGGAGGCTGAGAGAGGAGACTTGAGAGTTCCCTACCAGCAAGAGCTGCATGGAAGGTTCCAGACCAGCCTTGAGCTATAAAGCAAGCCAGGGTCAAAAAAAAAAAAAGGGGGGGGAGGCTGTTGGGGAAGTTACTGAGCATTGGAAGGGGGACATGGGAGGATGGTTATAATTATATTTCATTGCATGCATGTATGTAAATACAAATTAAAACCGGAAAAAATGACAACCAGAGTCTAGAGAGATGGCACAGCAATGAAGAACTTGCTATTCTTCCAGAGAACCCCAGGTTCAGTACCTCCGGCTCTAGGGGATCTGCTGCTCCCCTAGCCTCTGCAGGCACCCACCCTCACATGGCATACATCACATTAACATACATACCTACACTTAGATAAATTAAAAGGGTATGGCTGGGTGGTAGGACTTAATACCCATGTGCAAGGCCTACGATTCAATCTTTATCAGGAAAAAAAATCCACAAATAGTGCAGACTAGTTACATAGTAGCAGAGCTGCGGGGAAGCCAAGCTTCAGTGGTTACATTGAGGCAAAAAAGATAACTTCTCGTGGAAGGATCCTATCATCACGCCCAGAAACCCTTGCGGTAGCCAGGGCTCTTCTGCTCAATTGAACTTACCTGTAGCATCTATGAAACTGAAAGCCTCCACTAACGATAGATTATAACAGTAACCCTTCCTCTTCATAGCACCTCTGGTCAGCCATGTCCTCAACAGTGCATTGCCTGGTGAGTGAGATTTGACTCCACAAAGCATCAGCGTTTTCAAATGGATAGAGTTCACAAACAAATGTCAAAAGACAACAAAAAGTGTGTTCTCCTGGTGAAAGGACTCACTGGTTAACAGCACTGACTGCTCTTGCAGAGGACCCAGTTCATTTCCCAGCACCCACACAGTGACTAATGATCACCTGTAACCCCAGTTCCAGAGGATCTGTGGCTCTCTTCTGGCCTCCATGTCATGCACGGAGTACACATATATAATACATGCATTCATGCCTGCATATATATGTATATATTATATATAGGCAAAACACACATAAGATTTAAATTAAATCTTTTTTAAATCAAAACAAGAACATGTATTCTGCCCTATCACGTTGCATATCCCTATAAGCCCAGCGCTTGGGAGACAGAGGCAGGAGGATTGTGAGTCTGAGGCCATTGTTTATCTGATCTGAAGGTTCCCGATCATAGATGTAGTATGTTATTGAAGAAGCTTCCTTGCTTTCTTAAAGACATCATGTGCTTACCGGATTATAAAACCCTGAGAGCAGACAGCTTCACTCCTCCCAGAAGCCCTCACATTGCCTTCTCTCAGTCCATGCTTGCTACTTTCCAAGTCAGTTCCTGAGTGACCAAAGTAGTGTCAGAGAAGGAGACATGCACCTGAACGACCGTACTCCTGGAGTGTGGGGATTGTGTCTGACGCGGATCTCTTTCCCTGTGCTCATGTTTAAGCTTATAAAGATCTTCAGACCAGGGAGGACATACGGAGCGCAGCGTGGCAGAAGCATGGCTGGGAGGAACTGGTGTACTACACGGGTGAGCTGCTCATGACCCCTTACAGCGTTGGGAAAAACGCAGACGTAAAGTATAGGATGGGAAGATAAGGCTAACAAGGCATGAGATAGACCGATTTTTTTTTTTCCTCTTTACATACTAACTTGACTTTGTTTCAAATTAAGAATCTTGATTCTACCCAGCAGTGGTGGTGCAGACATTTAATCCCAGCACTTGGGAGGCGGAGGTAGAGGCAGAGGCAGAGGCAGAGGCAGGTTGGCGACAGAGTTAGACCCTGTCTGAAAAAAAGCAAAAAAGGGACTGGAAAGATGGCCCAGAATAAGAGCACTGGCTGCTCTCCCAGAGGACCTGGGTCCAATTCCTAGCACCCTCATGGTAACTCACAACCACCTGTAACTCCAGGTCTAGGGAATCCAATGCCTTTTTCTGGCCTCCATGGGCATAATGCATATAGACATGCATGCAGATAAAACACCCATACACATATAATTAATAAATAAAATTATTTTTAAAGCAGAAGACAAACAAAATCAGAATATTGATTCTTGCTGGGCAGTGGTGGTGGTGAGTTCTGGAACAGCCAGGAATACACACAGAGAAATCCTGTCTGGAAAAACCAAAAAAACACTATTGTATCACCTAGTAGAGTTTTCAGACATGTGGATAGCTTAATTTCTTTTAATTATTTTATTCCCTTGCTGTCCTAGAACTCGCTATGTAGAACAGACTGGTCCTCGAACTCACAGAGATCCACCTGCCTCTGCTCCCTAAGTGCTAGGATCAAAGGCATGCACCACCATGCTGGACTAGCTTAATTTTTTTAAATATTACTTTTTTTTTTTTTAGTTTCTTTGTTCTTTAAAACTTACAATTTTTTCTAAACTTTTTTTTTTGTTAAAACCATCACTTCCCCAAAATAATTTAATACATCAATTAAAAAGAATATATTTGCAAATAGGTATGGTGGCACACACATTTGGAAGACTAAGGCTAAAAGAATGCTCCAGGGTAACTGGAGTAACGAATAGCAATAATAGTAATGACAATGATAATAAATTTAGGGCTAAGGAGATGGCTTTGAGCCACAGCACTAAAAGTCGAGAGCAATTATAAAGTTAATTTTTGTTTGGTTGGTGGTTTTCCCAGACAGGGCCTCCACTGTGTAGCCCTGGCTGTCCTGGAACTCACAGTGTAGACCAGGCTAGCCTCAAATTCATAGAGATTGGCATAAAGTTCAATTCGATGGGAATTTAGCTGCATACTAAGAAGATGAGAAAGCAACCTAGGAGGTAGAAATAGCTTGTCTTTTAGTTAAAAAAAAAAAAAATATCACACAATTGAGCCAGGCCTGTACCAGGAAGGGCAGGTAGGAAGGTCCCGGTTAAAGGTCTTCCTTGGCTACATGGAGAGTGGAAGCCAGTCACAAAAGAAACAAAATCCTGTAATCGTATGTAATTCCGTGTTTTATTCTTCTATTATTTTGATCCAGTCTCTCTGTATCAAACTTGTTCACAAACTTGGCGGGGAGGGGTCCTTCCTGCCTCAGCCTCCCACACACCGGGATTACAGATATGAGCCGCCATGCCTGCTTGTAATTTCCTCTTAAACTTCTCATAAGTTTCCAGAATGTGTCTTGGTCCACAGAAGTGGTTGGGGTTTTCTGTTTTGTTTTGTTTTGTTTCAAGGCAGGGTTTCTCTGTGTAGCCCTGGCTGTCCTGGAACACACTCTGTAGCCCAGGCTGGCCTCGAACTCACAGAGATCCGCCTGCCTCTGCCTCCCGAGTGCTGGGATTAAAGGCGTGCGCCACCACGACCCATCGGTTTTTACAAATTTTTAAATGAAAAAAAAAATTTTTTTTTCCATTTATTTCCATGCGTGCTGTTGTTATGTTGGGGGGCAGGGACCCACCACAAAGCACACCTGTGGATGTCAGTGGGCAGTTTGTGGCAGTCAGTTCTCTCCTTCCCCACATAGCCTCCAGGGATTGAACTCAGGTCGTCAGGCTTGGTGACAAGTGCCTTTACCCTGAGCCCTCTACTTTCCTTTCTATGGGATACATTTAGATGCAGTATTATTTGGATTTTTGTTTGTTTTAGTTTAAAGGACTTTTTGAGAAAGCGCTATTTTTCACAGCCAAGACTTGGCTAATCTCCCATCAAGCAGCTCTCCATGTTGGACCCTCTTTCAGTTTCAGTGACACCCTACTCGGTGCTGTCACCGACTTCTGCCCCGGTACCCAGTCCCTTTCCTCACACTCCCCTGCTTTCTAGCAGCATGTGTTTCTGGTCTGCGCAGGCGCCTTGTTAATGTGTCCTTACCCCAGTGCCTTCGGAAAGGCCCGCGAAGTAACCTGCACCTTGTTTTCAGTCCCACTCATTCAGGAAATGGAGTCCAGAATCATGATCCCGCTCAAGACCTCACCCCTCCAGTGAAGCTTCCACGTGCCTACACGGATTTCCGGGATGAATACATGTCATGAATTCGTTTCAGCCATTCATCAAGTGAAAAAAAGAAACCGAGGTGTAAACTGCTGTACATAGCTTGTAAGATCTCTTTTCTTTAAAATTTGCATAATCACGAAGGGAAATCGGGGATCAGACTACGGGAGCACCACTCTGACACAGCTCTGCTTACCAAACTTAAGCCTCTAGCCCTTCAGGAAAACATGATCGTTTGAAGCTGGGGGTGGTAGCTTGCACTCAGGGAGCTGAGGCAGGAGAATTTTAAGTCCTAGGTCAATCTGGGCTACACAGAGAGTTTCAGGCAAGCTTGGACCCCTGGGCTTCCATAGTGAGACCCTGTCTCAAAAACCGAATTTAAAATTCGAATCATCTCTGAGTAAAATTCTAGCTCTAAAAAAAGAATCAGCTATTGCTTTCTATTTTTTTAAAAAAAATCTGTTTTATGTTTACAGATTTCTACAAATTTCTTTCCTTCAGGAAGAAATACAAATTATGTCGTTTCTCGAGCAGTTTTTCTGAGTCTCAAACTAGGAACAAATTATGAGTGTACCCAATGGCTGAAAAGGTTCTGATTTTGTGACTTTTGGTCAGTCAGGGAGGGCTGAGCAGTGTACCACCCTAAGCTGGAAGGGTGGTCACGGGGCACTAGCCCAGTAATTCGGGCTCCACCAGGCACTGTGTCCTGAGGGGTTGACATGAACCAGTGCACCACATGCGATTTGGTAATAAACACCTCAGATAGCTCTAATTTTATTTGTAATATTTTTCTATAAAACAAGTAGCTCTTGGAAAAGAGGTTTTATTTTGTAAGCCGCCATCTGTGACCTCTGACCTCTGGTTCTATTTTGGTAAGCGCACAGCAGACACTTCCAAGATCTTGTGTGAAGGGCAGTGCACGTTGGGTCTAAGTTGACATAAAGCTGCATATTCTGTCTGTCTCCGTTTGGTTTTGTTTTTTAATGTAGTGTGCCAATTTTGTGACTGCAGTCCTGTGAAAGCCCCACTGAACTGAAGAATTATGTCTGCCCTGCAAATTGATATGTGTAAAATAAAGTATGTCTAAATCTCCTATCAGACGCCTAATTTTTACATGCGAATGCTTTTCTCCAAGAACATAGAAAAGTAAATAAAATCCTCTTAATTTTCACATTTTGCATGATTGAAACCTTTTTTGTTTTGTTTTTGTTGTTTGGTTGTTTTGAGACGGGGTTTCTCTGTGTAACGCCCCTGGCCTTCCTGGAACTCACTCTGTAGACCAGGCTAGTCTTGAACTCACAGAGATCCACCTGTCTCTGCCTCCTGAGTGCTGGGACTAAAGGCGTGCGTCGCCACACCCAGCTGTTTGTCTCTTTGTTGGTTTGGTTTTTTTGAAACAGAGTCTCACTCTATAGCCCATGCTGGCCCAGACCCAGAACGTTCAGAATCCTCTGGCCTTTCCTTCCCCAAGTGCTGGAATTATATACACGAGCCACCACATCCTAAAAGAAAAAAAAACAAACTCATTTTTGCACCAGCGATCCATCTCTCTCATCCTCAGGGTGAGGACAATCTGCTGTCTTCCTCTTCCTCTGTGAGATTTGGGGAAAATTTCAATTTTTAAATTTTTTTGTAACTCTTACTATAATTACACTTTTTGTTTGTGTGTGTGTGTGTGTGTGTGTGTGTGTGTGTGAGAGAGAGAGAGAGAGAGAGAGAGAGAGAGAGAGAGACAGAGGAGAGAGAGAGGTAAAGGTAGTTCATTGGTGCACGGCCTGTGGAGATCAGAAGACATCTTTTGGAGTTGGTCCCCTCCTTCCACCACATGGGTCCCAGAGATTAAATTCAGGTCGTGGCCAGGCGTTGGTGGCGCACGACTTTAATCCCAGCACTTGGGAGGCAGAGCCAGGCGGATCTCTGTGAGTTCGAGGCCAGCCTGGGTCACCAAGTGAGCTCCAGGAAAGGCGCAAAGCTACACAGAGAAACCCTGTCTCGAAAAACAAAACAAAACAAAACAAAAAAAAAAATTCAGGTCGTGATGTGTGGCTGGCAGTGCTTGCCTTTTCCCACTGAGCCATCTCACGGGTCTGGTTGTTTTGAGACAGGGACTTACTATACGTCAGGTTGGCTTTAAATCACAACAATCCTCTTACCACAGACTCCTGAGTACTGGGATTACAGGTGTGCCAACAGGTCTAGCTGTGTTTTTGCCTACAAGAAAATGAAGAAGCCAGGCAGTGGTGGTGCACACATTTAATCCCAGCACTCAGGAGGCAGAGGCAGGCCAATCTCTGAGTTTGAGGCCAGCCTGGTCTACAAAGTGAGTTCCAAGACGGCCAGGGTTTCACACAGAAACTGTAAACCCTGTCTCGAAAACAAAACAAAAAAAGGCCAGGGCTGAGGGTACAGCTCACTTTATAGAGTGCTTATGCACAAGCTCTCCCAGGCTCAATCGATCTCCAGAGCTTATATTTACACACTGGGCATGCTGGCACATGCTGGAATCCCAGCATTTGTGAGGTGGAAGCAGGAGGTGGACCAGGGGTCATCTTCAGCTTTACCATAGTTTGAGGCCATCTTGAGCTACAGGAAACCTTGTCTCCCAAAAAGGCAAAATAAAACCAAGAGCATGACGTTACTCCTGCCCGGCTCCACTGAGACCCATTCTCTGGATAAACTGCTATTTTAATGAATGTATATATTCTCCTTCCCAGGCAAGTACATCTCCAAGAAAGGGAGAGAGACCCCCAGAACAGCAGCAGTGAAAGATTCCAGAGATACTCGGAGACACCTTAGTGATGGCAGAGATAGGAGGGCTTTTTGCCTCTACAGCCTCAGAATCTTTTGTTTGCTTGTGGGTTTTGTTGTTGTTGTTGTTTTGTTTTGTTTTTCTTCCCCAAGACAGGGGCTTTCTGTGTAGCCCCGGCTGTCCTGGATCTCACTCTGTAGTCCAGGCTGGTCTCGAACTCACAGAGATCCGCCTGCCACTGCCTCCCGAGTGCTGGGATTAAAGGCGTGCGCCACCACCGCCCGGTTTAGCCGTCAGAATCTTAATGGTCAGTTTCATCTGGACAAGTGAGTGACCTGTCCACAGGTCACATGAGTTCTGTTCACATCCTCCGAAGTGTTTTCCCATCTCTCCTCATGCAGTTCCCTCAACCCTGAGGTCAGCAGGACAAGAACCACTGCTTCCAACAGAAAGATTTGCCCACTCGCTCCCGACTGCCACCAGGTCACACCCAGAGCTGAAACCCTTTCCCCAGCATTCTTTATCTAATGCATTACTAAAGTTAACAATTTACCTAAACCAGGCGTTTCCACCCTGACCTGATACTTATTAACACTGGCCACAGCATTAACGTATTAATACAGCAGATGAAATCTTACTCCCTAAGGTTCTAAGACCTACTTTGTGAAGATCAGTGTGAGGATAACAGGCCTGTGCAACCACACCTGGAGTTCTGTGGTGCTGGGGATGGACCCCTCGGGCTTCCCACATGCCAGGCAAGCCCTCCACCAACTGCGTTCCTCCAACTCTTCACCCTTTAAAAAAATAATTTATCACCGGGCGGGGGTGGCGCACGCCTTTAATCCCAGCACTCGGGAGGCAGAGGCAGGCGAATCTCGGTGAGTTCGAGGCCAGCCTGGGCTACCAAGTGAGTTCCAGGAAAGGCGCAAAGCTACACAGAGAAACCCTGTCTCAAAAAACCAAAAAAAAAAAAAATAATGATAATAATTTATCTGTGTGAGTCTGTCTATGAGCGCACGTGCCGTGACATGCCTGAGACCAGAGAACAACTTGCAGGAGTCTGTTCTCTCCTTCCACCGTGTGGGTCCTGGGGGTAAACTCAGGACGTCAGGTCATCAGGGTTGACAGTCAGAGCCTTGACCTGCTGAGCCATCACACCTCACCACCCTTTCTTCACTTGTTTGTTTGTTTGTCTGTCTGTTTGTTTGTTTGTTTTTCTGTATAGCCCTGGCTGTCCTGGAACTCACTCTCTAGACCAGGCTGGCCTCTAACTCAGAGATCCGCCTGCTTCTGCCTCCCGAGTGCTGGGATTAAAGGAGTTCACCACCTCCACCAGGCCCATTCCTTCTTTTTAATATTTTATGTGTATGTGTGCCTGAGAATAGGTATGTGCACTATGTATATATGGGTGCCCTCAGAGGCCAGAAGACAGCATTGGATCCCCTGGAACTGGAGTTACAGGGATAAGCTACCCCATGTGGATGCTAGGAACCAGATCATCTTCAAGAGCAGTAAATACTCTTAACTAAACCATCTCTCTACCTCCCCCCATCCCCAAATGTTTATTAGTTTTGCGTGCATGCACTTGTGTGTGTGTGTGTGTGTGTGTGTGTGTGTGTGTGCGCGCTATGGAGTGAGGGGGGTCAGAAGGCAATCTTGTGGAGTGGGTTCTCTCCACCGTTATGTGGATTCTGGGGCTCGAACCCGGCTTGCATGGGAAACACCTTGACCCACTGAGAAATCTCGCTGGCCCTGTTGTTTAGAGACAGGGTCTCATGCAGACCAGGCAGGCCGGTTCAGTCTCACTCTGTACCCAAGGTGGGCCTGATCTTCCCACTTTGCTGGGATCACAGGCATGCACCACTCTGCCCACTTGCTGCTTTTTTTTTGATAAAGTATCTTGCTGTGAAGTCCATTCTTGCGTGGAGCCTCAGATCCTCCTGCCTCAGACCCCAGAGTGCTAGGATTACAAGTATATGCCACTATACCTAGCTACAAGGGCTTGTACTGCTTCAACCAGGACAAACTTCAACCCCTTAACTTTCTCTGGTTATACAAACAGTTTTCATAGATTGAAAAGTGGCACCCCCAAACAGGAGCTGTATCATGCTGCTACCACTCGGGGAACCCACCATACCGTATCTACCCGTGGATACCGCCTGTGGGAGAAGTAACCTCTGGCTGCTTCCAGCCAGTCTACAATTAGAAAAGCATGAAAGAGTTCAGTACAGTTCTTGCCTCATTCATATTCACCCCTGACACAACAAAGAGGAGATTGTACCAGTTGTACCAGAGCCGGTGGCCTATGGCCCACAGAACTGATGGTAGAATTGTAAACTTCTCTATCAGAGTCTCCATCTGCACCCTTATCAGATTCCTCTGGGGCAAATTTGGCATCGCACCTGTTCAGATGTCCTGTCGGGAGCAAGCTTTTGTAACCAAGCCGGTGGTGGCCTCCTCCACCTCCTCCTCCACCTCTGCCTGGGCTTGTGTGCCCGAGGTGGTAATGGAAACGGAGACCTTTTGTAGCAGCACTCTGCTGAGACCCAGCAGGCCTGGTCCTGCCCATTTTGCTCTGCTGAAAAGTGCAAACCCACAAAGCAACATCCAGGAGAACTGCCAGGAAGCATTTACAACCGGGACAACGGGCTTGTTGTTTGGGAGCCCGTGGGAGCGCGGCCAAGCACACTCCTCCATGCCTCTCCTCCAAAACCTGAGCGTTTTGCTTTGTTTTGCCTTCCATTTTTTGTTTAGTTTTGTTTTCTGTTTGGTGTGGGTTTTTTTTGTTTTTTCTTCTGTCTTTCTTTTTTTTTTTTTTTTTTTTTTTTGGTTTTTTTTTTTTTTTTTGGTTTTTTCAAGACAGGCTTTCTCTGTGTAGTTTCGGTGCCTGTCCTGGATCTCACTCTGTAGACCAGGCTGGCCTCGAACTCACAGAGATCTGCCTGTCTCTGCCTTCCGAGTGCTGGGATTAAAGGTGTGCGCCACCATTGCCCGGCTTCTCTTTGGTTTTTCAAGACAGAGTTTCTCTGTGTGTAGTCCTGGCTGTCTTGGAACTTGCTCTATAGACCAGGCTGGCCTCAAACTCACAGACATCTGCCTGTCTCTGCCTCCTGAGTACTGGGATTCCTCCTGAGTGCTGGGAATTAAAGGTTTATTTTTTCAGTTTTTTTTGTTTGTTTGTTTTTGAGCCAGAGTCTCCCTATAGCCCAGGCTAGCCTGTCCTGGAAATTTTTTGTTTGTTTTGTTTTCAGAGACAGGGTTTCTCTGTGTAGCTTTGGTGCCTGTCCTGGAACTCCCTTGTAGACCAGGCTGGCCTTGAACTCGCAGAGATCCACCTGCCTCCCCAGTGCTGAGATTAAAGGCGTGTGCCACCACTGCCCGGCTGCCTCAGCCTCTTGAGTGCTGAAGATATCAGGCACCATTCACCCTCAACTGATTTTGAAATTGGACACATTTGATCAATTGGGCTAAGTTATAAATGTTTTATATAATTTACACTAGCCAAACACTGGGCATTAGAGGCTAGGGCTGGGGTGGAGGGCTTGCCTAGCATGCGTGAAGCCTCACATTCAGTCCTCGGCACTGAATAACCCAGGCATGATGGTGCACACCTGGGACCCCAACACTCAGGAGGTGGAGGCAAGCGGAGCAGGAGTTCAAGGTCATCCTCACATACATAGCTGAGATGTGCGAGACCCTATCATTAAAAATAAAATTAAGGGGTTGGGGATTTAGCTCAGTGGTAGAGTGCTTGCCTAGCAAGCACAAGGCCCTGGGTTCGATCCTCAGCTCTGGAAATAAATAAATAAATAAATAAATAAATAACATTAAAAGCCCAGGGTAGAAAGAGTACTTACCTCAAATGTGCAAACCCCTAGGCTCCATCCCTAGCACTACTCAAAAATAAAACACACACAATAAAACCCAAAAAAATCTATATGCCTTTCCTACTTAATGACCTAATAGTCAATACTACATGTGTCTTCCTAACCCACACCCTTCCCCTCGGACAGAATTTAGGCAAGGAGGGTAAACAATCTCATCCTTTAAAGCATTTTCTGAACTTCCCCACCCTTGATAGTGCCTCAAACATGAACCTGCAGGTCTTTCTTCCCAAGACATCTGTGAAAAAGAACTCTGTGTGTGCACATGTGCGTGTGCATGCGTGCATATGTGTGTGTGTGCGTGTGCACGTGCACGCAAGCACATGTGCATGTGTGGTTTGGGCGCCAGGTGCACACATGCCACAGCACACATGTAGAGGTTAGAAGACAATTTTTGAGAGAGTTGTCTCCTCTGAGTTCCAGGAATTGAACTCGCATGGCCAGGCTTTTGCAGCAAGGACTTTTACCCAGTGAGCCCATCTCTCTGGGGTTTTTTGTTACCCCTTTCTGTTTATTTAGCATATCCTTTAGAGTTCTGTTTGATCTTTCTATAACTGCTTGGCCTGTAGGATTATGTGGTATACCTGTAATATGCTTTATATTGTAATAAGCAAGAAAATGTTTCATTTTAACAGAGACATATGCTGGAACATTGTCAGTTTTGATTTGTGCAGGTATGCCCATGATGGCCATAACTTCTAGCAAATGAGTGATTACAGAATCAGCTTTTACAGAACTCAAAGCAGTTGCCCATTGAAATCCTGAATAAGTATCGATAGTATGGTGTACATATTTCAATTTTCCAAATTCGGCAAACTGAAACACGTCCATCTGCTAGATTTCATTCCTCTGAGTACCCTTTGGGTTACATCCTGCTGGTAATGGCGTCTGATTGTAGAAGGAACAAGTAGGACTTTTCTTTACTATTTCCTTGGCTTGTTGCCAGGTTATGGAAAAATCCTTTTTTAAACCTTTACTATTGACATGTTTTTTATGAAATGCTGAGGCCTCCAGCACATTTCCTATCAATAATTTATCAATCTCATCATTGCCTTGTGCTGGAGGGCCTGGCAGACCAGTATGGGATCGGATGTGAGTTACATATAAAGGATGACTCCTTTTCCTGATTGTATCTTGTAACTGAATAAATAGTGAAGTTAATTCTGACGCATCAGGGGTAAATTCTGCAGTCTCAATATGTAACTGTGCTAATATTAGGAAAATGTTCCCCTCCCTTCATGATTTGTAAACCGTATGTGTAACTTCGACGCAACTAACAAAAATAAATGTGTTTTTTTTTATTTTCCTTTGTTTTGTCTTTTGAGACAGGGTATAGACAGGTTTTGTTTTGTGACTCTGGGTATAGAACCGAGGCACCAAGTTGGCCCCAAATGTGGCAATCATCCCCCTGCCTCTGCCTCCTGAGTGCTGGGATTAGAGACAGGAGCTACCACTTCTGACCCAGGAGCAACTTTTTTTAAAGCCAGTATTTTTATTCAAGCTCCATCGTTCCTTTTTAAAATGTTTGTTTTTTATTATTTTCCATTGTGTGTATGTGTGTTTCTGCATGTGGGTATGTGCACATGAATGCATGTGCCTGAGGAGGCCAGAGGCATCAGATCCCCGAGGAACTGGAGTTACAGAGAGTTATAAACCACTGGTTGTGGGTGCTGGGAACTTCCATACTCACAGTCACTGAAACACTAGACAAAGAATTCCTAAGAGGCAGAATTGAAAACGGAACAAATCAGCTGGTTGTGGTGATATACACCTTTAATCCCAGCACTCTGGAGGCAGAGGTAGGTGGATCTCTGAGTTTGAGGCCAGCCTGGTCTACAGAGTGAGTTCCAGGACAGCCGGAGCTACACAAAGAAACCTTGTCTCAAAAGAAACAAATAAACAAAAAAAAGGAAAAAGGAAAATTAAACAGGCCTGTTTTGATATACAAACATTCTTTTTATACCAAGAGAAACCCAATATTCACTTAAGGCTACTGAATCCATGTCCCAAGAGTAAAAGCATTTAATTTACTATGCACCTCAGAAAGCTCCAGGTAAAATATAGGTAGAAATATTCACAAAAGATTCAGAATATAAAACTCTCCAGGTAATTAGTAGTCATATTAATATTGGGACTACAGTAGAAAAGGCTAGCTACCCCCTGGACTGCACCAGGGGCCTCGCTGTTGTAGCTTGGAGAAGCTGGAGTTGTTCTGAGTGAGCGACAAGCTGAGATCATTCTTCCAGTTCTCCCAACAGCTCAACGAAGTCGGTGATGTACCACTTGGCGTTGTTCTTCACTTGCTGCCTGATCACATTTCCCCCAAATCCAATGAAGGCATCCTAGGAGGGAAAGGGAGAAGGGGATTAATGTCGTTGAAAATGGCACACCCAGAAACATACATCCAAATACATATAAAATAATTTTTAAAGACTTATTTATGTATTATGTGCAGAGCGTTTGGCCTGCAGGCCAGAAGAGGGCACCAGATCTCATTACAGATGGCTGTGAGCCACCATGTGGTTGCTGGGAATTGAACTCAGGACCTCTGGAAGAGCAGCCAGTGCTCTGAGCCATCTCTCCAGTGCCCTATAAAATACTTCTAAGGGAAAAATTGCCTATGTACTTAAAAAAACATGTATATCTGTGTGTGTGTGTGTGTGTGCATATTGCTATATATACGTATATATGTATATATGCCCAGTCTCACTCTCTGCTTCCAACTTGCTGATAAGAGGTGAGCTCCCAGCTACTGCTCCGGCACCATGCCTGCCTGCCTGCCACCACGCTCCCCTACATGATGACGGGCTAACCCTCTGAAACTCTAAGCAAGCCCGGTGAAATGTTTTTTGGGGTTTTTTTAAGTTGCCTTGGTCATGGTGTCTCTTCACAGCAATAGAATAGTAACTCAGACACTTATCACACGTGTTCCTGGTTGAATGTCTTTTAGTGGTTTTGTGTTCTTATGATATTTAGCTGTTCTTGTGTAAGTTCTGTGGTTAACTTCCTATGGTTTTCAGCCAGACCTAGGAAACAGAATTACCACCTGGAAAACAACAACAACAACAACAACAAAACCCCCCAGCATCCTTGGATACGTACAGCAGGAGGGCAGGCTTCCATGTCCGTAGCTCCATCTCCAATCATGATTATTTTCTTAAAGTGAAATTTTTCCTTTAAAAATCCAATGACCTTTCCTTTCCCACCAGATTCCGCTGTTGGCTGCATCTCATCGAAACCTGCATATTCCCCTTAAGAGGACAGAGAGAAAATCCGAGGTTCACAGAAGCATCTGGCTCCGGCCAGCTTGTTTATACTGATGATACCCGAACTTAACTATCAGCATGAAGTCTAAAACAGCCCTGGGTATGGTCACACAGCAAGGGACCTGACCCATATTCCTGAGGAGGTGGCGCTGGTGGGTTACCTTGAGTTGAATTACCTGCATCTTCTAAGCTTCCAATGTAGGAATTTTAAACTTTGTTAAGATATCAGAGCACCATAATATAGCAATACATTAATTTATCACATTAATATATTAACATTACCTAAAGGAAATAACCAATTTATTCTTACTTTTTTTTTTTAAAAGATAGGATCTCATGTAGAGCAGGCTTTCCTTGAATTTGCTATGAATCCTAGGATGACCTTGAATGTCTGATTCTCCGGCTTCCACATCTGGAGCACTGTGATTACAGGTGTGCGTGCGCTCCCCACGCCTGGTGTATGCAGGACTGGGGATGGAACTCGGGGCTTCCTACACATTAGGCAAGTGCTCTACGCACTGAATCCCATCCCCAACTCTGAATTTATTTCTATTATTGCAGAAATGAACACACTCATTAGTGGGGCATGGGACTGGTGTGGTGTGTTTGAGATGAGTGTCACTCTGTGGCTCAGGCTGGTCTAGAACTTGAAGCAATACTTCCTCCTCAGCCTCCCAAATGTTAAGAAGGAGTCCCCAGGCCTGGTCACTGAATTGTTTTTTGTTTGTTTGTTTGTTTGTTTTGTTTTGTTTGTTGGCTTAGTTTGGTTTGTTTGTTTATGTTTTTCGAGACAGGGTTTCTCTGTGTAGTTTTGGTGCCTGTCCTGGATCTCACGCTGTAGACCAGGCTGACCTCGAACTCACAGAGATCCAGCCATCTCTGCCTGGGATCAAAGGCGTGCGCCACTACCGCCCAGCCTTGTTTTTATTTTTTAAGATGGAGTCTAAGTAGCCAAAAATGACCTTTAATTCCTAATCCCCTGCCTCTGCTTTCTAAGTGCTAGGATTACATAGGCATTCCCTGTTATGGGAGTTCATGAAGAATTCTGCAGCTGGTTTAATTCCCGAGTGTTAGTACCTGGACTGATCTGCCTTTTGTGACTGCTACCTTTTGTGTCCGGTACCTCCTGTTTGAAACTCTCTTATCCAGAGAGTTTCCTAACAGTTCAAAGCTGATGCAAAATTTGGTTACAAGAGGACTCAGCAAACTGAGATGTCCCATGGCTAGGAACTGCTTTGGCATTTGTCTCTTTGGATCTTCAGATAAGAAGTTTTGGTATATGGAAATTGACTTGCTAAAGGGTGTAAAATTGCATAATAATAAAAGAGCCCTTGGCTAAGCTATAGGAGTCAGTTCATCAGAAGTTGACTATCCTGTGGCCACAGAAAGCTAGAATTCATCCTAGAGTGCCTCTGTTCCTTCTTTCCACGGACCTGTCCCTGCCACAATTCCCTTCCCCAGTGTCATACTTTTTTTTTTTTTTCCAAGACAGACTTTCTGTGTAGCCCTGGCTGTTCTGGAACTTGCTCTATAGACCAGGCTGGTCTCAAAGATTCACCTGCCTCTGCCTCCTGGGATGAAAGTCGTGAGCCACCACTGCCCGGCTATCTCGATACCTTTCTAAATCAGTGGGGTGGGGACGTGCAAGCTACGGCACCCACATGGAGGTCAACAGACAACTCTGTGGAGTCGGTTCTCTCCTTCCAACTTTATGTGGGTTCCAGGAATTGAATTCAAGTCAGGCTTCTTTGGCAAGCACCTTTACCTGCTGAGCCATCTCTCTGGCCCTCACTTGGTTTTAAGACTACCACCTACCCCATGACAAAACTAGAGAGCTCTTTGGTTTTTGAAACAGGGTTTCATACAGCCCAGGCTATCCTAGAATTTACTGTGTGTCCTAAGATGACCCTGAACTCCTGATCTTCCTGCTTCCACCTGGAGTATAGGTGGGAACCAACCTGCCCGGTTTAAGTGCCAACCCGGTACTTTAGGCAGGCTGCACAAACACTGAACCAAAGGACCGAGCCCAGCCCAAGAGCGCTCTGTTTGCTGTTTATTTTGTTGTTATTATTATTAATTATGATGCATTTGTGGGGGATGTACATGTGGGTGCAGCTGTGTGGAATCCAGACCACAGTGAGCTGCCAACCAATACGGTACTGGGAATAAACTCGGATCCTCCAAGTGAACTGCCTGTACTCTTAACCACTGAGCCACATCTCATCCTGTTTTCAGTCTTTAGAGACAAGTTTTTGTTCTGTAGCCCAAATTAGACTCAAACTTGAAATACTCCTGCCTCAGCACCTCAAGAGTCTAGCATATCTGGAGCCCTCTTGGGACTATGTAAATGTAGCTGTGACCCCAGGTGTCCCAAGAACAATGGTAATGCAGCAACTCATTAACCAAACTCCTTCCTGGGTTTAAATTGCTCCAGATACAGCAAAACAAACAAACGAACAAACCCTCAACTGTAACATCACAAAATAAGCCAGCAGGCTAACATTTTAGTTTATATGTAGACGGGCGAGCATATGAATATGCAAAGTCAAGCCAGGACAGATGACATCCTCAGCCTGTTTTGCAGAGCCAAGAACACCAAAGTGCAGAGGGTATCAGTCAAAAGAGCCATTCAAATGGGGCTGGAGAGACGGCTCAGCAGTCCAGAGTGCAAATAGATCTTGCAGAGGACCCGAGTTCAATTCTCAGTATCCGAGTCAGGTGTCTCACAACCTGTGCTCTGTTACACAGCCTGTAACTCTGGCTGCAGGAGATCTGATACACTCTTCTGGCCTCCAAGGACGCACGCACGCACGCACACATACACACACACAATTTGTTTTTTCAAGACAAGGTTTCTCTGTGTAGTTTTGGTGCCTTTCCTGGATCTCACTCTGTAGATCAGGCTGGCCTGGAACTCACAGAGATCCTCCTGGCTCTGCCTCCCGAGTGCTGGGATTAAAAGCGTGTGCCACTGCCCAGCCATAAAAAAATGTTTTTTTTGTTTGTTTGAGCTGAGGATCGAACCCAGGGCCTTGTGCTTGCTAGGCAAGTGCTCTACCACTGAGCTAAATCCCCAAGCCCAAAATTTTTTTAAAGATTTATTTATTTTTATTTATGTGTGTGGCTGTTTGGCCTGTATGCTTGTTTGTGTGCTACATGAATGTCTGGTGCCTTCAGAGGCCAGAAGAGGGAGTTGGATACCTGGAACTGGACTTACGTAGCTGTGGGTTGTCCAATGTGTATGCTAGGAATTGAACCCAGGTCCTCTGGAAGAGTGGCCAGTGCTCTCAACCCATAAGCCACCTCTCCAGCTGCCATAAAAAAATGTTTTTAAAAGAATAATTCATGTAACTCTTAACCTCAGAGCCATTTAAGTTACATTCCAACAGACGCTATCTAGAATATTAAATAACGGAACAGATAAGAAAGGGAATATACTACCATCAAAATCTTACCATTAGCTATGGTGGTTAAAAAATGGTTAAAAAAATCTTACCATTAAAGTAGAATTTCAGCCTATTGGCAAATACATTAGTTGTTGGAATATTGAGCTTTGCAGCCACATGCTCCACGATACTCCTAAAGCCACCAGATATGAGGAACACCTGAACATTTCGCTCCTGTAGGCGACTTACCAGCTCCCTACAAAAATAAACACAAGACACAAAACATCAATTAATACAAAAAGGAAACATGAAAAAGGTGCTTTTTTAAAAAATTTCCTCTTAGGTCCAATGCTGGAGGTCCATCTATAAGGGCTTAACATTTTGTATGCTTTTCCTTTTTGTTTTTTTTTTTTTCCTGAGGTGGGTCAGTGGTGGTAGTGAGATATTGTTCATCTGGGTTTTATGTGTTTAAATAAAACTTTATTGATCTTCTGTCCGGTCACAGCGGCTGTTCTGAAGCCAGGTCTCTCTGCTCAGGGTCCGCACTTTCACCATCGACTACATTTTTATTCCTCCGTCCACTTTTGCGCTCGTCTGTGGTGAGGTTGTTGTCATTTTTGCCTTTCTCGTTGTTCTTTGGTTGGTTGTTTGTGGTTGTTTTTGAAACAAACTCTTGCTATGTAGCCAGACTGGCTTTGAACTCACAACAGCAATCCTGCCTCAGCCATGAACCAACACCTGGTTGTGGCTTTTGTGTTTGTCTGTTTTGCTGGCTGATTTTGATATAGGATCCCATGTGTCTGGGGATGACTTTGAACTTCTGACCACCTGCCCCAACCTCCTATGTGCTAGGATAGACAAGGGTATGCTACACACATACCCGGCTTGTGAGTGTGTGTGTGTGTGTGTGTGTGTGTGTGTGTGTGTGTGTGTTCTAAGGCAAGGTCTCACTATGTAGCCCAGGTTGGCCTTGAACTCATGAACCTCCAGCCTTAGGTCCCCGAATACTAGAATTAAAAAACATGCACCACCATTCCCAGCATTATATGTGTTTTTTTCAGATGTACTTAGAAATTAATGGGTGGAGCTTTTCTGCTTTGGGAAACCATGCTGAGCAAACCATGCTCGCACCGATGCTAAGATAAAGAACTCCTAGAGAGCCTTGTGGAAGCATGAGGACAGACCTGAGCGAGACCAGAGAGTAAGAGGAGAGCAGCTATAGGTACCAAGAGAGCCGTGCAGAAGGGAGCTGCACAGCAACAGATCCTCCCAGGAGCAAAGAGTGTCACAAATCCCCAAGCCGATAGGAAGGCAGTGTGCCAAGGGTCCAGGCTGTACTTACCTTATGCCAGGGGTCAGGTGTGGAGGGTGCTCAGCTAGGAGCCTTTGCACCTGCTCCCTGGAGGGCTGGATCAATGCCAGGCGTTCAGTGAGCGCGTCTTTGAAAGGCAATGCTCCTCCCATGGCTCTCCGTGTCCTAGGAGGAAGACTCAATGATCAGGCCTGTTGGCATAGCTGTTCTTGAGGTCAACATGCCTTCCTATGCCAGGACTTCATGATAACCATCAGGAAGAAGGTTAGTGCCACGAGACCAACTCTCCAACAGACATGCTGCAGGCTGTGTACGGAAAGGCTGCTTGGGAATCACACTGAGACTCTGACACTATGTACTATGCATCCACCAACGGGTCAGAAACCCACACACCCCACACACAGGCACCTTGCCTGCAAGCCATAAACCCAGAACAAAACCAAAGGCTGCCGGGAGGTGGTAGCGCACGCCTTTAAACCCAGCCCATGGAAGGCAGAGGCAGGGGGATCTCAGTGAGATTGAGGCTAGCCTGGTCTACAGAGTGAGTTCCAGGACAGCCAGGACTACACAGAGAAACCGTGTCTTAAAAAACCAAAACAAGGGTTGGGGATTTAGCTCAGTGGTAGAGCGCTTGCCTAGCAAGTGCAAGGCCCTGGGTTGGGTCCTCAGCTCTGGAAAAAAAAAAATAGAAACAAAAAAAATAGAAAAACCAAAACAAACAAACAAACACACACCCAGAAACCGAAGGCTGAAAGCTCCTGGGTCAAATGCAGCTGAGCAGGTGACAGCCATAGCTCAGGACAGTGTCGCTGCCGCAGAATGGGAAGGGGAGAGGGAAGGGACAGAAGATCCCGGCCTGGGATCTCTCTCCACCGAGGCAGAAGGCTGCACTCTCAACCGTGACAGGAGGAACTGAATGTTTAGAGCTCCGGATTATCTTCTTGGATTAATCATTTTCCCAGCCTGTCTAAGAATGCGTCTCATCTGCAGACTTTGTTTTTGCTGGAATATTTGCAGATGGATAAATAAAGATGGCATGATACCACATTCAGCTCCAGGCAACCGGAGGAAATATCTAGTGCTTTGTCTTAGCACTGGACCAGAAACCAAACCTAGGAACCGAGACCCTGGCCTTTCATCCAGTCTTTTTTTTTTTTGTTGGTGTTTTTGTTTGTTTATCTTTGGGGGTTTTTTGTTGTTGTTGTTGTTGTTGTTTTGTTTCGGGGGGGGGGGGGGTTGTTTTTGTTTTTGTTTTTTTGAGACAGGGTTTCTCTTGTGTAGCCCTGGCTGTCCTGGTACTCACTCTGTAGACCAGGCTGGCCTCAAACTCACAGAGATCTGCCTGCCTCTACCTCTCGAGTGCTGGGATAAAAGGCGTGCACTACTATGCCCAGAAGGTCATTTTTTTTTTTTTTCAAACATGGTGACATCTTTACCATCTCATAAAGGGAATAAAGACAGCGCATACATTTCAGACACGGCAGCCTCCACACCACAGAATTTGGCCAGCTCGTCAATCCCTTCTTCTCGGATGACGGTGCTGTCGACGTCAAAGCACACTGCGTCTGCTGAACAGACAAGTTCCCTGAGCTCTGAGTGGGAGACCATCCTGGGAAGAATTTTCCTCCTGGAGGAGAAAAAGAGGAATGTGCTTAAAGATGTCAGATACAATCAGAAGGGGCTAGGGATGGGGCTCAGTAGTAGGGTGTTGGTCCAGCACTCATGAAGCCCTGAGTTTCAGCCCCCCAGCACCACCGAAGTCAGGTGTAGTGATGTCTGCCTGTGATCCCAGCTCTGAGGAGGTGGAAGCAGGAGGATCAAGAGTTAGGACTGAAGAGATGGATCAGTGGTAAAGAGTGCTGGCTGCAATTTCAAAGGACCCAAGTTCAATTCCCAGCACCCTCATCAGGCAGCTCACAGCTGCCTGTAACTCCAGCTCCAGGAGATCCATCACCCTCTCTGGCACGCGCACACACACACACACACACACACACACACACACACACACACACACACACGTACACAGTTAAATAAAAATAGCAATAATAATTTTTAAAAAAGAGAGAGTTGCGGGGTGGTGGGGGCACATGCCTTTAATCTCAGCACTTAGGAGGCAGAGGCAGGCAGATTTCTGTGAATTTGAGGCCAATCTAGTCTACAGAGTTCCAGGACAGCCAGAGAAAGAAACCCTGTCTCAAAAAACCAAAAGATAGAGAGTAAGAGAGAGAGTTAAAGTTCATCCTTAGCTACATAGCAAGTTTGAGGCCAATCTGCACTACATGAGACCCTGTTTCAAATAAAAATGGCAGTAGGGAGACGGTTCAATAGGTAAAGATGCCTGCTGCCAAACCTCAACCCTGGAAGCCACATGGTAGAAGAGAGGAGTCATGAAAGTTGACCTCTGACCTCCATGCTCACACTGTGCTATACACATGCATCCCCACTCACACACAACAACAGTTTCTTAAGAAAAGACATAAAGCTTGTTTCATAAATGTATCATGCGATTCAACTGGGCGGGACGGTGAGGCACAGGTTGAGGGAAAGCTAGGCAGGAAGGCAAATTACATAAGAGCTAAAATGAGATCGTGGCTGAGAGTAACTGACAGGCACCCAGAGGCTCAAAACCAGCCAAAAAGACAAATCCGGGTCAGGCACCTGACGTGGGACCTGAAGGTAAACAAAACAATGTCCTTAAGAGGCTCACGGTCTTTCAGAGATGCTGGGCGTGGTGGTGGTGTGTGTGTGTGTGTGTGTGTGTGTGTGTGTGTGTGTGTGTGTGTGCGCGCGCTTGCAATCTCAGCACTAGGGAGGGGAGATGGGGGGAGGAGGGTCAGAGGTTAAAGGTCATCCTTGGGTCTAAACTGAGTTGGGGTCCTAAGGTCAAGGCACGCCTGGGCTAGAGATCCAACCTCTAAATAAATAAATAAGTGGGTATGGGTGGTGATGCCCATCTGTGTTCCCAGCACTAAGGAGGCTGAGGCAGGAGGATCATGAGTGCAAAGCTAGGCTGGTGCTACATTGTGAGACTAGTCTTAAAAAAAAAAAAAAAAACCTTGGCTATAGGGGAACACTAAGTTCAGCTGCTTCAAAGTAAATTGTGCACATTAGACTTTCACAGAGAGAAAGAAAAATCACTGCTGGGAATGGACTCTGGAACCTTCACATCTGGCTTTTGGGGGAAGGGAGGAAGCCCACAGATGAGGCGTGGAGAGACTGCCGGAAGAAAGGTCTGTGTTCAAACACAGGCCCAGGCCCCCTTACGGCCTTCCGTGGTGCAGGCTGGGACTTCAGCTTGGCAGTGCGTCCACCTGACTGTATTTCTTTAAAAATTGTGCTGACAAGCCGTTCTTCCCCGGAGCCCCAAAATGAAAAAAAGGGTTTTTCCTTCACGGCTGGATTTAGGAGGCCGGAATTGGGGTAAGAGGGAAAAAAAAAAAATTTTTTTTCCTTGCTCAAACAGATCGATGCTTTTCCATCTAGTATCTTGCAAGAGGCACCTAAGATTACGTTAGCTCTTATGTTATGATACACACCTCTTATCTCCTAAGCTGCGTTAAAAATAGATAAAAGCAGGTGTGGTGGGACTGTCTATCTTCCCAGCACAGGAAGGGTGGAAACAGAAGGATTAGCAGGAAGGATTGCCTCAAAAGAAAGGACAGTTAAGGTCAGCACAGGGAGGCTGGAGAGGTGGCTCAGTGGTTAAGAGCATTTGCTGCTTGTACAGAGGACCAGCCCAGCTCCCAGCACCCACACGGCAGCTCTCCAATCGCCTGTAACTCCAGGCCCAGGGGATCCAGTGCTTTCTTCTGACTAGTACATGTGTGGTACACATACATCAAATAAAAACAGATACATTTTTAAAGTGGCCACACAGATGAGGACATCAGATCCTCTGGAGATGGAGTTACAGGTGGTCTAAGGTGCCTACCATGGGTACTAGAAGCCAGACTCAAGTCCTCTGGAAGAGCAACAACACTTAGCTTGCTGAGCCATCTCTCCAGTCCCCAGTGTTGAAATTGTTAAAGACCATGAGGACTTTCAGTGTTGGAATAAGTACATTTTGCATTATGAAAATAAATAAACAAATAAATAAAATGGCCACAGAGGTTAAACACATTGGAGAGAATCAAGTTTACTAGGCTCTGGAAGTGGGTGAAACATCCTAAGGGCAAAGCTATTCAGGACCCCTGGACAGCAAAACAGGTTCTGGGAAACTTCTAGATCCAGGTCAAATCAGAGACCCTCTCTGGAGGGGGGGAAAAGTGTTAGGCCAGCATATTTTTTTTCTTTCTTTTTCTTTTGTTTTTATTGGGTTTTTTTGTTGTTGTTGTTTTGTTTTGTTTTTTTGTTTGTTTGTTTTTCATTGCAGAAGGGTTTGTCAGGTAGCCCAGGCTGGTATGGAACTCCTCATGTAGCCTAGGCTATGCCAAACACAAGACCTTCATGCCTTAGCTAAAGTGCTAAGATTACAGGCGGATGATTCTATACCTGGCCACTTACATTTTATGATTAAAGAAACAGTTAATCTGGGTGAATGAAACGGCTCAGTGTAGCTACAGGAGTCTGCTGCCAAGCCTGATGACCTAAGTTCTGTCCCCAGGGCCCACATAGTAGAGGAAGAGAACTGAGTCTCGAATATTGTGCTCTGACTTCACAAGTACCAGGGCACCTGTGCAGGAATCAACATGTACAATAAACAAATTAGTAAGCAAGAAATTAAATGTAAAAAAAAATAGATAAATAAAAATGTTTTTAAAAAGGAAAAAAAAAACAGGGTTGGGTAGATGTCTCAGTGGTTAGAAATACACACACACACGTATTTTAAAAATGTAATGGTAAGGGGCTGGAGAGATGGCTCAGAGGTTAAGAGCACTGGCTGCTCTTCCAGAGGTCCTGAGTTCAATTCCCAGCAACCATATGGTGGCTCACAACCATCTGTAATGAGATCTGGTGCCCTCTTCTGGCCTGCAGGCATACATGCAGGCAGGACACTATATACATAATAAAATAAATAAAAAAAAAAAAATGTAATGGTAAATTTGAAAAAGAAAAGGGAGCTAGGGAAATGGTTCCGCACTCAAGAGCACTTGTTGCTCTTGCAGAGAGCCTGGGTTTAGTTCCCAGAATCTGCTCGGTGATTTACAACTATCCGTAACTCTAAGTTCCTGGGGATTCACTGCCATCTTCTGACTCCAGTGGACACTGAATGCAGGTTGTGCACATACATCCAGGCAGGCAAAACACTCATACACAAGAAATTCCTTTCTTTTTCTTCTGGTTTTTTTGAGACATGATCTCTCTACACATGTCCCGGAGCTCACCACATGGACCAGGCTGGCCTCAGACTCACAGAGATCCTCCTGCCTCTGCCTTCCAAATGCTGGGATCAAAGGTGTGCGCCACCACAAAGGCAAAATAAATGAATTCTTTTAAGAAAGAAAGCTAGCTGTTCAAGCTGGGCATGATGTGTATGTCACGACTCAGGAGGCTGTGGTAGGAGGTTACTGTGAATTACAGACCAACCTGGGATACAAAATGAGTCCTTGCCACAAAAAAATAAAATAAAGAAAAAGAAAAGCATTTTTTAGGGGCTGGAGAGACAGTTCACCGGTTAAGAGCACTGGCTGCTCTTCCAGGGAACTTGATTTTGACCCTAGCAAGTACCTATAGGGTGGCTCATAACCAACTACACCTCCAGTTCCGGAGGATCTGCTACCCTCTTCTGACCTCCTCAGGTATCAGCCTTGCAAGTGGTACACAGATATGCATGTGGGGGAAAACACCCATACACATATAACAAAAATTTAATTAAAAAAAAAACAAAGAAACAGATAAACTTCTTGTAACCAGAGTGGCAGGCATATGTCATGTTATGGCAGACAATGTTTTTTTCTTCTTTTCCTCCTCCTCCCCTCCTCCTCCTTTTTAAAGACAGGTCTCCTGTATCCTACCTAGCCTGGCGTCAAACCTGCTACTCAGCCAAGGATAACCTTGACCTCCTGATCGTCCCATTCCCACCTCCAGAGTGCTGAGATGCCAGGCATGAACACTGCACCTACTTTGTACAGTGGAACCCAGGGCTTTGAGCATGATAAGCATGCGCTCTACCCACTAAGCCACACCCTCAAACCAACAGCTGGCTACTTTCCGCTAGAGGAGGTTAGCTCATTGGCAAAACTAACGACCAAATGCATGGAGATGTCAGGTACTCACGATTCTCCAGAGCTGGATTCCTGGATGACAATGTCTTTCTCTTCCCCTTACTTTGTTGGTTAAAAATGCACCGTAAACCTCAGATTAGAGTTGTTGTTGTTGTAAGAAATAACTGTGGGTTTTTTGCAAGAGTCTAAAAAAAAAAAAAAAGAGAGAGAGAGAGAGAGAAAATGAACAACCAGGAACAGACTTGTGGCAAAGGAGGTAGCGGGGCTGGGGATTGTGGGACAGTTGGTAAAGCGCTTACCTGGAAGGTAGCAAGCCTGGGGTTCTACCCTCCGCAGTGCATAAACCAGGGTTGATGACCTACACCTGTAATCCCAGCACTCAAGGGGCAGAATCCATCCAAAGGATCAGAAGTTCAAGGTTATCTTAGGCTACACAGGGTGTTAGCGGTTCAAGGCAAGCCTGGATTATGAGACCCAGTCACAAAGAAAATTTTCAGGGGTGTGTGGGGAAGGAAGACTGATTGACCTCTTAGTAAGATTGTTCCAACAACGGTTCAAACCAAAGTTTCCTAAAACTGCTTCCCCTGGGAGATGCTGGAGCAGAGCAGAGAAGTAGCTACACAGCCTGGTCTGTGGCTTCCACTTCCGGGAAGTTAACGTACCTGATGGACAGAGTACAAAGAGGGCCTGCTGGGAGACAATATGCAAATCAGAGTGGAGAGACCTGAGCATGGGCTAGATTCAACAGTCCCTGCTGTCTTCCAAATAAGACCCATGTGTGTGGTGCCTCGCGCCTGTAATTTCAACATTAGAGGGGCTAAGGAACCCTGAGGCAGGAGGATCACTCTGAGTTTTAATCCTGTCTCCAAAACTCAAAAAAGAAAAGAAATCAATGACCAGGAGCTAGAACTGTAGGTGTGGCTCAGCAGTCAAGTACCCTGGACCTGTGCTCACGAAACAATTTAATTAATCAACTAATGAATTACAAGTCAGGGAAACAAAGTCAAGAGTAACGGAGAAGTCAGAAAATGATTCCGGAACTGGCAAGATGGCTCGGTAGGTGCTCACCTTGAAACTCTGATGGCCCTCGCTCGCTCAAGCCCTGGAACCCTTGGTGAAGGAGGGGAACTGGCTCCTGAGCCGTCCTCTGACCTCCACAGGTACGCCATGGCGCATGCGTGTCCGTACCGATACTCGCAGTAATAATAAATACGGTAAAGGAATTCTGGTGCTAGCATCGAGGGAGCAAAGCTACCAACTGTGAGCTGTGATATTCACCGTTAGCACTAGAGAAGTGCTCAGTGGTAAAGTGGCTACCTAACGCGCACCAAGTTCCATCCTCAGCACCACAAAAAGTTCTTTTAAAAAAAAAAAAAAAAAAAAGCCGGGCGGTGGTGGCGCACGCCTTTAATCCCAGCACTCGGGAGGCAGAGCCAGGCGGATCTCTGTGAGTTCGAGGCCAGCCTGGGCTACCAAGTGAGTCCCAGGAAAGGCGCAAAGCTACACAGAGAAACCCTGTCTCGAAAAACCAAAAAAAAAAAAAAAAAAAAAAAAAAAAAAAAAAAAAACCCAAGTAGAAGAAACGACAACAATAATAGTAAGCGTTAAAACGCAAACAGAGGCTGCAGCGATGGCTCAGCAGTTAAGAACACTTGCTGCTCTTGCAGAGGACCCGGGTTCGCATCCCAGCACCCACATGTCATATTATAATCATCTGCAACGCCAGTTCCTGTTCCAAGGGATCTGATGCCCTTGCACTCCTCCGACCTCTGGGGGGCACCAGGCACACACATGGTGCACAGACATACATACAGGCAAAATATTTCACAAATATAAAATAAATAAGTCTTTAAAAAAAAAAAAAAAAAAACAGCTGGACGGGCTGGAGAGATGGCTCAGCGGTTAAGAGCACTGGCTGCTTTTCCAGAGGTCCTGAGTTCAATTCCCAGCAACCACATGGTGGCTCACAACCACCTGTATTGAGATCTGGCGCCCTCTTCTGGCCTGCAGGGATACATGCAGGCAGAATCCTGTATACATAATAAATAAATAAATTCTTAAAAAAAAAATAGCTGGACATCTTGGTACATGACCATAATCTCAGCTCTCAGGAGAATAAGGCACAGGGGTGTTAAATTTAAAGACAGGCTCTACTACATAGCAAGAGTCTGTCTCAAAAAAAAAAAAAGAATCAAGGAGGTGGGGGCTGGGGAAATGACTCACACAGTCAGTCTAACCTAAGTTCAATCACTAGAACAGTGTTTTTAAAAATGCCAGGGGCTGGTCAAATGGTTTGGTGGGTAAAAGTCCTTGCCAGGCAACCTGATGACCTGAGTCCAATTCCCAGAAACCAGAATAGCCTAGAAAAAGGCGAACTGATTCCAAAAAGTTGTCTTCTGACCCCCACACTCACACAACAAACACTCACGAAAGTTAGATCCAGCATGCACTCAGGTACACACACACACACACACACACACACACACACACACACACACTCAATAAACATTTTTTTTAAAAAGCCAAGCATAATGCACAGGCTGACAATAAGGAGAAAGGCAGATTGCTGAGCTCAGCCGGTCAGGCTTAATTGGCAAGCTCCAGGACAGTGAGCAACCCTGGCTTAGAAAAAAAAAAAAAGCCCGGGCGGTGGTGGTGGTGCACGCCTTTAATCCCAGCACTCGGGAGGCAGAGGCAGGCGGATCTCTGTGAGTTTGAGGGTTCCAGGACAGGCTCCAAAGCTACACAGAGAAACCCTGTCTCAAAAAACAAAAAAAAAGAAAAGAAAATGGACACACCTGAGAAGTAACACCCACGTTCCCAGATTTGTCCTCTGGCCTACACACACACACACACACACACACACACACTGGGAATATAAGTTTAGTAGAAGAAGGTGCTAAATCTCCAAAGAAAAAGAACAGTTAAGAAATAGAGCCGAAAGCCAGGCCTGAAGGTGCTGGTGCTGGCCATTATCCCAGCACTTTGGAAGTAAGGCAGGAGGATCACTGCATGTTCACACTAGCCTGGGTTACATAAAGAATTTTCAAGTTTCAGGCCAGCTGGGCTGTAGACACTCTGTCTCAAAAAATAAATAAATAAATAAATAAAAACAAAACAAAACAAAAATTTAACTACACCATTCAAAAAGGAAGTTATGTAAATAAACTTGTAAAAAGAATGAGTAAAGTTTCTGTGAAGATAAAAGTACTGAGAACTCTCATATACCGCTGGGGGGGGGGGGGAGATTTAAGCAAATTTCTTTCTTTTTGTTTTTTTGTTTTTTGTTTGTTTTGTTTTTAGAGACAGGGTTTCTCTGTGTAGCTTTGGAGCCTGTCCTGGAACTTGCTCTGTAGACCAGGCTGGCCTCGAACTCACAGAGATCCACCTGGCTCTGCCTCCCGAGTGCTGGGATTAAAGCTGTGTGCCACCACCGCCCCCCCCCCGCATTAAACAAATTTCTTGTAGGTTGAAGACAGATTTACAAACCCCAGCAGCTCTGCTCTTAGAGAGATATATCTACAAAAAGAAAGGTTGATGGGAGAAAAACATTTTCACCGTTTATTTGTGGGTGATTGCCCAAATATTCACCAACAGATAAGCTTTAGGCACTGGGAAATGGAAGCATGAGGATCAGGAGTTCAAGGCCAGCCTGTGCTAACACACACACACACACACACACACACACACACACACACACACACGAGTGTATCTATAATATCCAAGACTCGTCTATAGAAAATAAAACCGGCGCTGGAGAGATTGCTCAATGGTCAAGAGTGCTTGCTGTTCCTGCAGAAAATAGAAGTTTGGTTTCCAGCACCCACATGGGTCACAGAGGTCGATTCACAACCTTCTGTAACTCCAGTTCCTGGGGATCTGACACCTTTGGCCTCTGAAGAGAGAGAGAGAGAGAGAGAGAGAGAGAGAGAGAGAGAGAGAGAGAGAGAGAGAGAGAGAGAGAGAGAGAGAGAGAGAGAGAGAGAATGAGCAAATTTAATGAATGAAAGATTTAACACCCAAATTAAAGCTATTCCTTTATAACTGTATATGTTTAGAGAGAGAGAGAGAGAGAGAGAGTGTGTGTGTGTGTGTTTATTTCAAATTCTATTTCTAATGGAAACTATGGCAAAGTCAAGACACTTCAGTTCCCCGTTTGGAGAATTTCCATATCTTCTACAAATGATTCTCCTGGGCCAGATTGCATCATTCATTCATGCTGTTTGTCTTGGAGAATGAAAAAAGTGAAGTTCTCTAAAATATGAACTAGCGAAAGGAAAGCCTTGGAGTCCCAAGAGATAATCTACCTATCCAGCGAAGAATCAGAGAGGCCACAGCTGTGGGAAAGCGAGGACCGGTGCATCAGAGAGCCGGGCACAGGTCAAGACTGGCGCGGGCGGGGAACTCACCGCGGTTCCTGGGCCGCGCTGCTCTTCACGGTTCCTGTGCCTGTAACTTTCCGGTAGCAGCGGGGTCTGGAGCTGCCTGACGTGCGAGCGCTACGTCCTAAGGGAGGTGACCCGTGCAGGAGATCACAGCCCTCACCCAAGGCTGGTCTGGGATCTGCTGATGCGTCCGGTGGCTTCAGAACAGTTTTCGCATGTGCGTTTCCAACTGGAGATGGCAGATCTCAGCTCTGCAAAACCCGGTTGGAAGGCCGCCTTGGTCCAGCCCCCAGGGGAGGGGCTTCCCGGTCCCGCCCCCCACCCCTTCCCTTCCTAGGGGCTCTGCGCCTACCGAGCCTCCGTGAGCTCTCAGTGATCTCTAGTTTGCTGAGGTGGCCGGAAAGAGCTCCCCGACTTTCAGAAGCAGTGCCCCAAGGCAGGGTCCTTGCAATCGAGAGGAGCGAGGGACCTCTGCACTGCTTTCACAATACACGAAGCCCCTTGTGAGCCCTTTCTGAAATCCCGCGTTTCCTACGCTGTCCCTGCAGAAAGGCAGGAGCCAGGAGAATTACAAAATCTACACAGAGTCGCAGGCAAAGTAACTCAGTTGGCAGTGTTTGCCTGGCGTGCAAGAATTGGGTTCCATCCCCAGCACCACATAAACCCCACAGTTGGTACAAGCCTGTAACTTCAGCACTCAAGAGGTGGAGACAGGAGGATCAGAAGTTCAAAGTCGTCCTGACTACATAATGAATTTGAGACAAGCCTGAACAATAGGAGAGACCCTGTCTAAAAATAAAAACACTTTGTTCACACTTAAAGTGAAAAAAAAAAAAAGCCACAAATCTTTGCTGGGCTGGAGAAAGGCCCAGAAGTTAATGGTATTTACTGCTACTGCAGACGACCCAGGTCTGGGGCCCAGCGCCTCCATCAGGGGCTCACAACCACCTGTAGCTCCAGTTCCAGGAGATCCAATGCCTGCTGGCCTCCGAGGGTACCAGCGCACATGCAGGCACATACATACTCATGAATAAAAACAATCCTCTTTTATTTTAAAATTTTTATTTATTTAGTATGTATGGACGTTTCGTCTGCATGTAAGTCTGGCACTTTGGGGTACTTACTGAGGCCAGAAGGGGACATCTGATCCTCTGAAGCTGGAGTTAAAGGAAGTTGTGAGCCACCATATGGGTGCTGGGAATCAAACCCAGGTCCTCTGGAAGAGCAGCCACTGCTCTTAACCACTGAGCCATCTCTCAAGCCCCTAGCTTTTCTTAATCTTGGCAGTTTTTCCCTCATGTGTATACTTGTGTGGTGTGTTTGCATGTTTTCTCGTGTGTGATGTGTGCTTGTGTGTGCACATGGAGACCCAAGGATGGTAGCAGGTGTCTTCCTCAATTGCTTTCTGCCTAAGGTAGGATCTCTCCAGTGAACTCAAGAGTCCATGCATAGAACTATTCTACCAGGGGCTGGAGAGACGGTTCATCGGTTGAGAGCATCGGCTGCTCTTCCAGGGGTCCTGAGATCAATTCCCAGCACCCACATGGTGGTTCCCAATAGGATCTGATGCCCTCTTCTGGCATGCAGGTATACATGCATAGCACTCACACATAAAATAAAATAAAATGAAAAACTATTCTTCCTGGTCAGTCTACTTGGAGGATCACATTTCTGCCTTCCCAGTGCTGGAATTTCAGACAGGACTCTATTCCCACTCCACATTTATGGGAGCTCCATGAATCTAAACTCCCAATTTTGGGCTTGCATGGCAAGTACTTTAACCACTGAGCCAACTTGTTAACCTGTATGTATACCTGTTTGTTTTATCTATTTGGTTGGTTTGAGGGTTTTGTTTCTTGGGATTGTGTGTGTTTGTGTGTGTGTGTGTGTGTGTGTGTGTGTGTACTTGGAATTGTTCGTTTGTTTGTTTTTCGTTTTTCGAGACAGGGTTTCTCTGTGTAGTTTTGGTGCCTGTCCTGGATCTCACTCTGTAGACCAGGCTGGCCTCGAACTCACAGAGATCCACCTGGCTCTGCCTCCCGAGTACTGGGATCAAAGGCGTGTGCCAACGCCACCCGGTGAACCTAGGGTTTTACACATATTAGTCAAATGTTCTAGTCAGCATTTATAGCCCTAGTTAGCCCTCTTTCTCATTCATACTTTGAAAATGAGTCTAAACTGCCCACGTTGGCCTTCAACTGACTCTATAGTCCTGTCAGTCCTTGAACTTGTGATCCTTCTGCCTCAGTCTCTTGATGGCTGGAATGACAGGCCCGAATCACCAGGTCCAGCTTTGTTCTGTCCTGCCTGCCCCTTCCAGATGTCACTTGTCCAGCTATTACTGTAACATAACCAGTAAGGAATGTTGTTTCCAAATATTTACATTACAGGAAGCTGGCTGCAATTAGGCAATGAAGTCCAACAAAAGACAACTTGAAACCTCTAGTGGTGACCATCTGCTTCTCCAATCTGAGAGAATGCCAAGGCTAAGGCAGGCCTCTAGCCACAACCAACCATGCCCTTAGCCAGAGAAACTCTCAAAATATACACTGCAGGAAGGTGGTACAAGTCTTTAATCCCAGCACTCAAGAGGGAGGCAGAGGCAAGTGAATGAATCTCTGGGAGTTCGTTTGAGGCCAGCCAGGTCCACATTGTGAGTTCCAGGCTAACCTACAGCTATGTAGTGAGACTCTGTCTCAAAAGAAACAAACAAAAAAAATTATACAATTCAAACCATGCCAGGGACCCTTGACGGGGGGGTGGGGGGGGGGAGTGGGGGGGCCATGGGGATTTGAGAAATGTAAAATAGGAAATATAGACAAATATAGACATAAATGGAGAGAAAGACAGAGACACGGGATAGCTTCAAGAGGGCCCTGGGTCAATACCCAGCAGCCTTGAGTTTATTTCTAATGGGCTTTTTATACACTAGCAAGGGGAGAGGCAAAAGACCTCTCCCTTTCAAGATCAACAACATACAACGAAGCATAGACCCTTCAAAACACCTGGAAACCACTCCCCACAGCAAAGCATCTTGTGATTAGGCCTTGAAGTTGTAAGACATCTGGTAATCATGCCTTTGCACCCTACTATGCAGCCTTGGAGAGCAACATAATCTCTGACTCCCTGACCTTGAGTCAAACCACAGTTGGAATCTTTGTGGGCAGCCACACATCCAGTAACAAAAGCCCCCAGGCTCTTTGATTGGACATGACTTTGAAGTTCACTATTCCCAGAATTCACTAGTTGAAAAATGGCTGTAAAGCAGGGCAAACGTAGTTTCCCTATGCCCACTGAAGATGGGATTCTTCTAAATCACGTTGATTTAATTACTGTGGGGTAAGTTCCACAGTGTGCATGTGGAACTCAGCGACGACTTTATGGTGTCAGGCTTCTCCTTCCACTATGAGCGTCCTGGGGATCAAATTCATGCCATTAGGTTTATGGCAAATGCCTTTACCAGCTGAGCCATCTAGCCAGCCTCAGAGATGATTTTGATGAAGTAGAGTGCTTGCCTAAGTAATCCCCAAGACCAGATGAAATAGGTGAATTAAGAGTTTTGAAATAACAATCTAGTCAATAACACATATGTTTTTAGGAGTAGCTTTTGTTGTTGTTGTTATTGTTTGTTTGTTTTTCAAGACAGGGTTTCTCTGTGTAGCTTGGGAGCCTGTCCTGGAACTTTGTAGACCAGGCTGGCCTCGAACTCACAGAGATCCACCTGCCTCTGCCTCCCGAGTGCTGGGATTAAAAGTGTGCGCCACCACCGCCCGGCATATATGGTAGTAACTTTAACAGAAGTATAATAAAATATGCTAGATGTTAAACACTAAACATATGTGTTTAAGTATAGGTAGCAATGGAAATTTGTATTTGAAAAGGAAAGCTTAACTACTATAAATACAAATGACTACAAGAGTTTATGTGCGCTATTATTATTCCTACTTTACATAGTCACGACATAAATTTCAGGTATTTAAATAAAATCTATCAGCTGTTCATGGTCCTTTTGGCCACCTCATCTCACACCTGTACAATGTTTGGGCACAAGATGGCAGTGTTGATGTTCAGCCAGAGTAGACACATGTAAAAAATGAGTCAGGGGCTGGAGAGACGGCTCAGAGGTGAAGAGCATGTATTGAGTTTAATTCCCTGCACCCACATCAGGCAACTCACAACTGCCTGTCACTTCAGTTCCAGGGGGACCTGATATGCCAGGGCTCGTCAGGCACCTGCACTCACCTACACAGACAAACAAAACTGAAAGACAAAATGTTAATATGTCAGGAAGCCAGGTGTAGAGGCTCACACCTTTAATCCCAACACTTGGGAAATAGAGGCAGGCAATATTTTTGAGTTGGAAGCCAAACAGGACTACACAGTGAGACATAGTGAGACTGTCTCAATAGACAACAAACAAACACACAAAAATACACAAATAAGTGTCATAAAAAAACAGCAACAACGCTGGGAGGTGGCCTTGAATCCCAGCACTCTGGAGGCAGAGGCAGGCGGATCTCTGTGAGTTCGAGGCCAGCCTGGTCTACAGAGTGAGTTCCAGGACAGCCAGGACTACACGGAGAGATCCTATCTTGAAAGACCAAAATCAAATAAACAAGCAGTAACAACAATAAAACCATTGACAGATGCTAAAAGTAGTGTGTGGCATGGTGAAAAAGAGAATATTTATAGAATTCCTCACGAGATGCTGACTGAATAGAGAGTAAAGCTAGTTTTAAAGGTTTGTTTCTATTATTTTCTAGTTATCTACGTGTATCTGCACGTAGGTATGTGCCCACGAGTGCAGGCCGGAGGTGTCAGATTTCCCTGCAGCTGGAGTTACAGAGAGTTGTGAGCTGCCTGATGTGTGGGTGCTGGGAATCAAACTCAGGTCTTCTAGAAGAGCCAGTGGCAAGTGCTCTTAACTGCTGAGCCAGCTGTCCTGTAGCCCCAAAGAGAAAAGTTATGACTTTATAGTAATCTGGCAACTTTCGAATAAATGGTCAAAGTTAACAGCACCAACAATGAGATAAACTGGAATCACGCGCCTCTTTTTAAGCCACCACCAGGACACATCATTTCTGTAGTATTTCTCGCCAGAAATGAATTTAGGCATCAGGAAACAGCAAACTACACAAAATAAGTCTATAAAACGATTGCTATATTGTTGTTTTTGCTTTTTTGGCTCTTTTGGGGGATCCCACCAGCCAGCTTCCAAATACACACACACACACACACACACACACACACACACACACACACACACACACACACGGAGGGTTACTCTTAAATTGTAAATGCTCAGCCTTAGCTTGGCTTGTTGCTAGCCAGCTTTTTTAACTTTTATTATCCCCGTCTACCTTTTGCCTTTGGGTTTTTACTTTTCTCTTACTTCTGTAAATCTTACTTTCACTCTTACTCCATGGCTGGCTGGGTGGCTGGGTGGCTGGTCCCTGATGACCTCCTCGCCTTGTTCTCTTGCTCTTTCTTCTTTTCCTCCCAGATTTCTCCTTCTATTTATTCACTCCACCTGCCAGCCCCTCCTATCCTTTCTCCTGCCTCACTATTGGATGTTCAGCTCTTTATTAGACCATCAGGTGTTTTACACACGCAAAGCAACACAGCTTCACAGAGTAAAACAAATGCAACATAAAAGAATGCAACATATCTTTGCATCATTAAACACATGTTCCACAGCATTAGCAAATGTAACACATCTTAAAATAATATTCTACCACACAGGATATTCAAAACTACCAAGATCAAGCCAAGGGGAGTGGCACAGGTCTGTTAATCCCAGCAATCTAGACTATGGGGTGTGAGGATTGCCAGTTTGAGGCCAGCCTAGGCTACACAACAAGTTTCAGGTCATCTTGGGCTACATAGAAAGCCTGTCTCAGAACCAGACTAGGTATGGTGGTACAATAGTACACTTACAGCACTCTGGAAACTGAGGCAGAAGAATCAGTTCAAAGTCACCCTGAGTTCATACTAAGTTTGAGGCCAGCCTGAGCTACAGGAGAACCTGTTAATTAATTTATGTTTTAAAACAAAACAAAAAACTAATTAAAGAGAGAACCAACTCCTTTTTTCCAGTTTGTTTTGTTTTTTGAGACAGAGTTTTTCGGTGTGGCTTAGGAGCTTTTTCTGGAACTCACTAGCCCAGGCTGGCCTCGAACTCACAGAGATACCATCTGCTTCTGCCTCCCTAGTGCTGGGATTAAAGGCATGCACCACCAGCAACCAGCTGAGAACCAATCCTTAAAAGTTGTTCTATCATAGGGCGGTGGTGGTGAGTGCCTTTAATCCCAGCACTTGGGAGGCAGAGACAGGCAGATCTCTGTGAGTTCCAGGCCAGCCTGGTCTACAAAGTGAGTTCTAGGACAGGCACCAAAGCTACAGAGAAACCCTGTCTCCAAAAACAAAAACAAACAAACAAACAAACAAAAAGTTGTCCTTCTGACCTCTGTACATATACTCTGGCACAGATGAATGGTGCAAACGCCTATACATATACATGTATACACGCACACTGTGCGCACCTGTGTGCGCACGTGCAAATAAGTGTAATAAAACTTTTTTGAGACTCTGTCTTAAACAACAACAAAACTCTTTTTAAAAGACTGGAAACCAGAAGTGTTACTAAACGCCGTTGTGGGAGTAGGCCAAAGCATGTGACAATCTTAAATGCATCTTACAGATATCCTAGCATGTATGTGAGATGTCATAGAGATTTTTAGTAACAAAATAGCAGAATAAATTTGGCCCAATGGGAGGTTGGTGAAATAAATTGTGATGCAGTCATTCAATGAATTATGTTAAAAAACAAACAAAACCCCAAAACTCAGCCAGATGGGGTGATGCTGTGTGATACTCATTGTGAGAACAACGCAATTGCTGGGGATATAGTTCAGAGAAAAAGCACTAGCCTACCATATGTGAACCAGGTGTGGTGGTGCAAGTCCGTAATACCGGCACTTAAGAGGCCAATACATGTGGCTGGAGAGATGGCTCAGTGGCTAAGAGCAGTGGTTGCTCTTCTGGAGGTCCTGGGTTCGACTCCCAGCAGCCACAAGGGGATCTGATTTCCTCTTTTGGTGTGCAGATACACATGCAGGCAAAATACCCATAAAAATAAAGAGGTAGGTAGGATCAGGAGTTCAAGGCCAGCCTTATCTGCATAGTGAGACCTTGTCTCACAAATAAAACAAGCCACAAGCAAAAAAAAAAAGAAAGAAAAGAAACCTCCAATATTTCTTCCCCAACATTTTAAAGAATATTATATTAAGTATTACCAGTGTCAGCGCTGAGTTTTCCTGGGCAGTCTTTAATTTTCCAACTCACTCCAACATCTGCCTTTCCCTTTCTCTGCCTTGTAAGCAGACACGTGACTTCAGAGTCGCCCTTTGCATCATTTTTACCAACAATTACAATGAATCTGCATGTTCGCCAAGTGGTTGATATAAGTCAACGTGAGTTTTCCACGTGCCACTCATCATATACACGATTTTTGTGATTTTTGAAATCTACAGACCCACTTAAAAACATCACACCAGCATAATTACTGCAGCCAGAATAGCCGAGGTTTGGGAATAACTAAAGCTCCGCCAGATGAGTGGTTAGTTCTATCTTTCCTTCTTTAATTTTCTGCGCTGTGATCACATCCAGGGCCTCTGCACCTGCTAGGCCAGTGCTCAACCACTGAGCTACACTCCTCATATTTCAAATCAATTATAGTTCTTTCTTTCCTTTTTTGCGGGGTGGGGTGGGGAGTGGGGGGTTGTGACAGGAGTTCTCTGTATAGCCCTGGCTCTCCTGGAACTCAAACTCACTGAGATCCACCTGCCTCTGCCTCTCAAGTCCTGGGATTAAAAGTATGCACCATCACCACCCCGATTTGTTCTTTTTTGAGACAGGGTCTCACTATGTAGCCATGGCTGGCCTGGACCTTGCTATGTAGATCAGGTTTGCTTTGAACTCAAAATTGATCTGCCTGCCTGCCTAGTGCTGGGATTGTTTCATTCTTGCAGTAAGTATCAGACAGATGGTGAGAATGATAATTTATTTCAATCAAAACACCTCCAGAATAGACCAGTATAATATATCCAATGGTATTATGAATTGTCATCTGTGTGGAGAAGTGATTCCTATTGAGATGCATGTTTATAAATTCAGGTAACAGCTTAAAAATTGAGCATGTATCTATACTTAAGTGCTAAGACATACAGGCAGGGAAAACACCCACACACATAACATTATTAAAAAAAAAAAAAAAAAAACCTAAAGGGGGGCTGGAGAGATGGCTCAGCGTTTAAGAGCACTGGCTGTTTTTCCAGAGGACGTAGGTCCATTCCCAGCACCCACGTGGCAGCTCACAACTATTTAACTCCAGTTCCAGGGGATCTGGTACCTTCACACCAAAGCACATAAATAAAGCTAAATAAATTATTATTTTTTTTTAAGTTAAAGGAGTCCTTTCAAAGGCTGGGCATCACTGTCCAACTAAGTTTGAGTTTCTAGCAGGCATAGTAGTTCACACCACTTTGCAGATTGAAGCAGGACTGCAACGAGTAATTCGAGGTCAGCCGGGTCTACAGAGCGAGTTCCAGGACAGCCAAGGCTACACAGGAAAAAAACCCTATCTCTAAAAACCAAAAATCAACCAACCAACCAACAGACCCCTGAGTCTTCAAAATCTACCTCACTGACCTGGGCCCTAAGAATGGACTGACTCTGGAGTCTCCTCAACGCCCATCGCACCAATCTCGTCGCTCCTAAAGCCATCTAGGAATTTCTACCTAGCATTAGACTTTTCTTCCCCGGTTCTAAGCCACCAGGGTACTGGGGAAGCGTCCGTTTTCTGTGTTCCCACATTTATGGATAAAACAAGGAAGAAAACCCGAATCTGGGAAACCTCGCGAGAGGGTGAGGGGCCCATCCCCGGAACCCATTGTCCAGTAGCTACAGACATCCCGCAAAGCGAAGCCGATGCCTCTGCTTCCTGTCACGCCCAGACGAGTGCTGAGGCCGAAGCATCCCTCGAGGACACAACCTGTAGGACTTTCCTGCACAGCAGGCTGCGCAACCGCCACGCTTCAGTCCCTAAGTCGCGGATCAGCAACAATGTGCTGCGACCACGACGGAACCTTAACACTCCGAGTGTCGATTGCCAGAGAACAAGTTTCTCGGATGCGCAATGACGCCGCAACTGGGCGTGGTGGGCGGAGCCTCGAGAGACTAGCGTCCGATTGAGCCAATCAGAGGGCACCAGCGGAGCCGCAGCCCAATGGAGGCGCCCCGTAGGCACGCTGGAGGCGGGCCAGGTGCGTAAGACTTTTCGAGAAGACCCGCATAGAGCACGTTGTTCTCGGCCTCTCCCTGAGCTGGGGCAGCCATGGCGGCGGTGAAGACCCTAAATCCCAAAGCCGAGGTGGCCCGGGCGCAGGCAGCGCTGGCGGTGAACATCAGCGCGGCACGGGGCCTGCAGGATGTTCTGAGGACCAACTTGGGGCCTAAGGGCACCATGAAGATGTAAGGCCGGGAGGGCGGGAGAACGGGCCTGGCGGGCCGGTGGCCGCGAAGCCGAGCCGCCGCCTGCAGGCCTTCGCTCTGGCGTTTTCTACAATGTCTGTGCGGCCTCCCATCCAGACAGCCCAGTTCGCGCCTTTGGGGATTGCCAGTCGCACCCACTTCCTTTGGAGGAAGAGGGTGGCGTGTGCACCCTTCCTCTACCCAGCCCCGTGGCCCCGAGCTTACTAGCATGTAGAAACAAGGCCCACATTTCATGGGGTTTAGTTTCGTGACCGTACCGTTGGCGAATTAATGAAGTTGGCTGGGACGTAGTGCTTTATTTTACTTTGCTCTTACTCACCCCTGTGCGCCCCCCCCCCTCGTATTGTACCTGCTTACCCCAAAAGGAACTGCTTGCACGTCGTAGTCTGCTGTCTCCTTTGTAGGACTTGTTATGTATTTATTTGGGGGTCTGATTGATCTGCTCTGACTGGCCTCAAACTCCCAGAGATTCACTTGTCTCAAAAAATGAAATAAAATAAAAAGGGAAAAAGAGATACACATCACCTCCCCTTGGCGGCTTTATGGAATTCTTAGTTGGGTTTCCATTGAAAAAAGTCATATTTTGCTCATTGGTTTTTTTTTTTGCCCTTTTGACAGGCTTGTTTCTGGTGCTGGAGACATCAAGCTTACTAAAGATGGCAATGTGCTGCTTCACGAAATGGTAAGAGGTTCCCATGGTAGTTTTAAAAAAAATTCTTAACCTTCTTTAGTGTTACCTTGTTCATTCTCGAGGTGGCTCATATCTTTCAAACAGAAATGTAGAAAATGGTATACTGGGTGAAGAACTTTAGAGTCTGACACATGTATTTAGATCCCCACTTTTTGGGGGTGAGGGGGCTACTTTTTTAGTCTGGACTAAAAGATTGTTTAAAAAAAGGCCTGGTGGCAGTGGTGCATGATTTAATCCCAGCACCCAGACAGGAGGATCTCTTGAGTTCAAGGACACCCTGGTCTACAGAGCAATTTCCAGGACAGCTAGGGCTACACAGAGAAACCCTGTCTCAAAAACAGGGCAACTGAGAAAGAAAAAACAAAATAAATCCTCATCTTTCCACCACAGGAGAAATGAAAATTTCCTTACTTTGATTTTTTTGTTTGTTTGTTTAAAACAGGATCTCAATGTAGCCCTGACTGGCCTCAAACTCACAGATAACCTGCTTCTGCCTCCTGAATACTGGGGCTAAAGCTGTACGCCTTCACACCTGGATAGTTATATTTTACTATAGTTACTATTTTTGTCCCAAGGGTCAAGTGAAATTGGTCCAAGCACCTATTTGTTCACCAGAACTTTCAGGTCCAGCAGTTCAAATCCCAGAAAAGAAAATGACTTGAAAATTCAAGCAAAATGTAGCTCAGCCAGACAGTTTAAATAGATGGCTTTAAAAGGAGCCTGTCTTATATTTTACCTTAGGTAGTGTTGTAAGTCATTTAAATAGTTCTTTTTCTACTTTCAGCAAATTCAACACCCAACAGCCTCTCTAATAGCAAAAGTCGCTACAGCCCAGGATGACATCACTGGCGACGGCACCACGTCCAATGTCCTTATCATCGGGGAGCTGCTGAAGCAGGCCGACCTCTACATTTCTGAGGTACACATGATTCTTGTTTCTGTGGTATGTTGTTTGGTGGGATCTTGGTGAAAATTGATGGAATACTACCTGCGAGCACACCATGGAACGTAAGGTCAGGCTGCTTAAGTCTGGGAGCCTGAATGTGTCTTTATCTCTGTCCAACATGAGTGAAGAACAAGTCAGCTGTATATTGTTGTAGAATATTATTTTAAGGCGTGTTACTTTTGTTTATGTTGCATTTGTTTAACTCTGTGATGCTGTGTTACTGTGCCTGTCTAAAACACCTGATGGTCTAATAAAGAACTGAACGGCCAATAGCAAGGCAGGAAGGAGAAAGGATAGGCAGGGTTGGCAGGCAGAGAAAACATATAGAAGGAGAAATCTGGGAGGAGAAAAAAAAAGAAGTAGCCAGAGGAGGAGGAGGGTGCAAGGGGCCAGCCACCCAGTTACTCAGCAAGCCATGGTAAGAAATAATGAAGGATATACAGAGATAGAGAAAGGTAAAGGCCCAGAGGCAGAAGCTAGACGGAATAATTTAAAGTAAAGTAAAGCTGGCTAGCAACAAGCTAGGGCCGGACATTTGTAATTAAGAATAAGCCTCGGTGTGTGGTTTAATTTGGGAGTTGGGTTACAAGCCCCCCAAAAGAGCAAAAATAACCAACAACAATATATAAATAATTATATATTTATATTTAATGGGCTAGCCTCAAACTCACAGAGCTCTTGCTACTTTTGCCCCACATCTGGCCTAGATTCTGATTTTTTTTTTTAATAATATTTCAAAATAATGTGACTTAGTTGAAATTACCTGCAGACAAGCCAGGCTTTTACTGGCAGCAGGACTTTAGGAGCCAGTTTTGGGTTTGGTATTCTGGTTTGCACAGTGAACACCCAAGTGTGCTATTTCTGTGGTTCCCTTGGCCTTGACTCTGTGCTAGAGTAAAGTCTGTTCTTTTCCTCTGCATTGAAAGGAGTACTGTGTCCTTTTAAATGTATTCAGAAAAGCAGCACACCATGTTGCCTTAGGTATGAGTGACCCAGTGTCCCTTCAGATGTTGCTGAACTTAGTGGATTGTCGTGTATCTAATGGAAGATTCCAGTGTTGGCAGTGGGTTTGTAACTGTTTGGATTCCAGGGTCTTCACCCCAGGATAATAACTGAAGGTTTTGAAGCTGCGAAGGAAAAGGCACTCCAGTTTTTGGAACAAGTCAAAGTAAGCAGAGAGATGGACAGAGAAACCCTGATCGATGTGGCCAGAACATCTCTGCGAACTAAAGTTCATGCTGAGCTTGCAGATGTCTTAACCGAGGTGTGTGAGTAACGTGGCTGTACATGCAGTGCAGTGCACAGAGATCTCCAGAAATGTCTGTTCTTGGTGGTGCACATAGGGTCTTCACGACAATGCTGGGCAGAGTAAGGGGTTCAGGGTTTCCCTCAGCAGTAGTCAACTAATCTGTCTTCAAAGTGGGAAGATTGAATTGTTACCAGGCCAGGTTTGGGAAGAATAATTGAAACTTGGACAGAAGGATTATTAAGTAGAAACTGAGTTTCTAGGAATAGGTGGTCCTCCCCCACCCCCTGCATTTATGGGACTGGTGGTTTGGTGTGTGTCCTGGTCTGATCAGCAATTCTCTCTAACACTTGGTTTTGGGGACTTTCAAAGTTGTCTGTTAGTTCTCAGTAAACTGTTAGAAGATGCGGTTGTGCTTGTTTGGGGATAGAGTGAGTTTGAAATCTATTCTCTCTAATCTTAACCCCAGTCCTTACTATGCCCAGTGAGTTACCTGTGTTTGCAATACAATAATTCTTCAGAAAATTGCAAGTTGAGGTTTTAGGGACATAAAATGCTTCAACCTTTACACTTGTCTAAAGACCAGCTAAAGTGTGTCATCCTCTACAAATTGAATTTATTTAATTGTTATCTCATAGGCTGTAGTGGACTCCATTTTGGCCATTAAGAAAAAAGATGAACCCATTGACCTCTTCATGGTTGAGATCATGGAGATGAAACATAAATCTGAAACTGATACAAGGTAGGTGACAGAATGCTTTGAACTGCTTTCTACCGCCAAGCTGTTCCCCAGCCCTGAGACAATTTCATATTGGATAAGTTACTGGGTATGATATTTATTTGAAGTAGCATGCACTGTTGAAATGAGGGAGTGCTGCTCTGTGTGTGTGGTCAGTGTGATTCTGAAGTGTGAGTATCAATGAGCATTTACTGACAGGCTTGAGTACAGTGCACAATGGGAAGACTGCTGGTAATTCAACTGTTCAAAGATTCTAGCTTGAAAATGTTTCTTTACGAGAAACATTTCCGAAGGTAGAAGGGTGTTTGGGTTTGTGTGGCTTGTCTTGTGTCCTAGAGCATTGTTTTTTCACATCTCGCCTTAAGTTTAACTACAAAGTTTGCAGACTGTTGTAGAAATTTGTGGACTTGTATGAAAATTATCACTGTAGCAGTTAATTGTTCTTATTTTGTTAGTGTGTGTCGCTCTCCTGTCTGCTATCTGTAAATAGGAGTGGTATAAATTTTCCTGTTTTATAGCTTAATCAGAGGGCTTGTTTTGGATCATGGAGCACGGCATCCTGATATGAAGAAAAGGGTAGAAAATGCCTACATCCTCACATGCAACGTGTCCTTAGAATATGAGAAAACGTGAGTTTGTAGAATAACCCTTGAGGGTAGGGGTCCTGGCATTTCCCCACTGTAGGGACAGGAAGGCAAACGTGGGCACTCGGGTTCTATGCAGCCCAGTGGTGGAGCCCTGGGCTGGGATGTGTCCAGCCTAATGCAGTTTCCTTGGTCCCATTAGAACTGAGGAAAATGGAAATCTCCCCTTGTCTGTGACCTTTTTTTCCTTTTAGAGAAGTGAATTCTGGGTTTTTCTACAAGAGTGCGGAAGAGAGAGAAAAACTAGTGAAGGCTGAAAGAAAATTCATTGAAGACAGAGTTAAAAAGATAGTAGAGCTGAAAAAGAAAGTCTGTGGTGATTCCGATAAAGGATTTGTCGTTATTAATCAAAAGGTGAGAATTTGACATTTGAATTTGTTTGTTTGTTTGTTTTTAAGGTGAGAGCTGTTGAAACTGTTTTGTTTTTATTCAGGGGATTGACCCCTTTTCCTTAGACGCCCTTGCAAAAGAAGGCATCGTGGCTCTGCGCAGGGCCAAGAGGAGAAACATGGAGAGGTAAGGGGAGCCAGCCTCACACTTCGCAAGGGACTTAGAGTATTCCTTTTGCACTTCTACGTGTTTTTGCATTTATTAGCATGTATCAATTGAACAAGATCATTAATTTCATTATGATACAAGCAAATGATGTGTTTTGATTGTTTTCACACACATTCCCCCATTACTGTAGTTCCCTTCCATCCCTATTACTGGTTGCTCCTCTTTCCAAATACTCTAGTTTTGTTTGCCTTCAAAAAAAATTTGGGGGACTAGATAACATTTTTTTGCTTACTTGCTTTTTTTGGGGAAGGGGGGCATGAGTTCCAGGCCAGCCTGGTCTACAAAGCAAGTTCCGGCACAGCCAGGACTATTACACACAGAAACCCTGTCTTGAAAAAAACAAAACACGTTGATCATGTGATTCTGAAAATGGCCTTCCTAAAGATTGTCTTCTTGAACATAACCGACATGGCTTACTATATTTTCAAATAATGTGCTTCACTGTTACAGGCTGACACTTGCTTGTGGTGGGGTAGCTCTGAATTCCTTTGACGACCTGAATCCTGACTGTTTGGGCTATGCAGGTCTGGTCTATGAGTATACGCTGGTAAGTGTTTTCTTCCTGAAGACAATAGTATTTTGTTTATCAGTGGTTGGATAGAAAATTTCAAACTCACAATCAGATTTTTCTCAATGATTTTTTGTTTGTTTGTTTGTTTATTGAGACTAGAATTTCTTTGTAACAGCCCTTGCTGTCTTTGTAGACCAGGCTGGCCTCAAACTCATACAGATCCACCTGCCTCTGCCTTCCGAGTGCTGGGATTAAAGGCATGCGCCACCCCTACCCAGCTTTTGTATAGGGCTCTTTCACTGAGTTTATTCCAGGTTGCTTGTGTAAGGGTTATTTACTGGACCTGGGCAACTTGACAGTGGTTACACCCTTTTTTTAAAGTGACTTCCTCATATATCATGGTAGTTTATGTGTAATATGAGTTGACTTTAAAATTTTAATTTTGGATCTGTGAATATTCCCCCTCCCCCTTCAAATTTTCTTTAATGGGATGGTGATTGTTTCTTATTACACTATTTACTCTTCCATACACCCTTATACTCTGCGTGATACTCTGTTTTTACTTTTTATATGTGTTAGGGATTTTGCTGTTTTAAGACAAGGTTTTACTGTGTATCCTGGGGTGTCCTGGAAGTCACAGAGACCTGTCTGCTTCTGCCTTTGAAGTGCTGAGATTAATGGTATGCAGCACCATGCCCAGGGATAAGCTGCTCTGACAATGATTTCTTTTCTCGCAGGGTGAAGAGAAGTTCACCTTCATTGAGAAATGTAACAATCCCCGTTCTGTCACGTTACTGATTAAAGGACCAAATAAGCACACACTGACTCAAATCAAGGATGCAATAAGAGATGGCCTGAGGGCTGTCAAAAATGCCATCGATGATGGTAAGAACCACACTGGATTCTTGGTGTGTTCTTGTTGCTAGTCTAAAAGGCATGGCTGAATACTGTGTTCTTTAGTCAGTAATTTACACAGCCAGACACCATGCAAAAGTAAAGTCTTCCTTTACAATGATTGGTATGCTGTTTTTTATGGTATATCATTATGAAAAGTGAGTACAAAAGTGATTAAAACTGGTGGCTCTTGAGCTACCACTTACTAAGTTATTGTTAGTTGGACCATTTTCCCGTTAGTTGTGGTTGCTTACGTTGTGGCTCCAGAGGTAGGTCTGGGCTGGGGTGCTGCCTGTTGGTACTGCACCTACCTAGCATATTTGAGACCCACATTTCCACCTCTAGCACTACAAAAGCAGATAAACTGCATATAACTAGTCAGTCACAGCGTGAATTCGCAAGAAGTTAGAGGCTTCCTGTGCATGTTTCCCTTACGTGCAGTGCACCTTCATTTTGTGTTTCCTGTTTCTGTCTCTCTAACTTAGCATTTCTCCTTCCCTTGTCCACCAGGCTGTGTTGTCCCGGGCGCTGGGGCAGTAGAAGTGGCGATGGCAGAGGCTCTGATTAAATACAAGCCCAGCGTGAAGGGCAGGGCGCAGCTTGGAGTACAGGCATTTGCAGACGCCTTGCTCATTATCCCCAAGGTTTGGAGGTTTACTGACATCTTAGTTTTCTTTGCTGACGGCCTTTGGGCTACAGTCTATTATAAATGTTAGTTTCCTAAACTGTGTCAAGCTAGGCAGAGTGACTCCTGCCTTGAATCCTAGCACTTGTGAGGCCAAGGCAGGCAGATCTTGGCCAACTGATTTACATGCCATTCCAGGCAAGCCAGCCCTGTTTGTAGCAAGATAGTCTTCCTCACCTCTGGGTGGGGAGAGTTTAGAAGAACGCCACCCTACCACATCCTGAGATAGGCAAGCTATAAATCTCTGCAGCTTCACAGAGGAGAATGGAGAACAGAAAGGGTGGAGGTCGGTCACAAAGTGAGGACTAGTGGCCACATAGCAGGGAGGGAGGCTAAGTGAACAGATACCAGCTGCATGGCACCAGCCCAGTGAGCCTTGCCTGTTTGGGTTATTCAAGGATAAGCTTGCTTTTTTTGTTTGTTTGAGTAAAACTGATGGACATGTGAGTCCCTATCAGTGCTCAGTAAGGTGAGGGTTTATGAGCAGTGCTTTGTTTTGATGGGTTTGAAGTCTATTAGAGAGTTGGTTAACAACACCTGCCTGTTCTCTGGGAGAGAACATGAATAATGTTCTAGCTCATTCAGTGCATGCCGACCACCACCCCATTTACTTACTTGGTGGGGGGCAAGAAGGGGGTGTGCTATATAGCACATATATGGAGATCAAAAGACTGCTTTCAGGGAATTTCTTTTTTATTAGAAATGCTGTTGGTTTATTGTAGGCTTAACATTCACTTCTCATTTGTTCACTAGGTTCTTGCTCAGAACTCTGGTTTTGACCTTCAGGAAACACTAGTTAAAGTTCAAGCTGAGCATTCAGAATCAGGTCAACTTGTAGGTGTGGACTTGAACACAGGTGAGAATGGACCTTATTTGTGGGGTAGAACTAGATGGAGTGAAGCTGGGGAAAGTGGAAATAAATGACTGAAGGGTCTTGGTGTGCTGCTCTGGTTTGGTACCCGTGCTGTCCTTATGAGTTGATGTGACCGGTACCGGACTAACTAGATGGCAGATGCAGACATAGAGTGGGTGTTGTAATTGGTGGAGTAAGGCTAGTGGGATGGTTGTACCCGGCTTTTAGCCCTGTAACACAGATGTACACATCCAAAGCAGAAGGCCTGTTGTCCATACCATCGCTAACTTAGAAGAGACTGAGAATGAGGAGAGTCAAAGCCATTCATGTAATGTAGGTCAGCAGGAACGCACCCAGAACAGAGGGTTGTCCAAACCTTTGCTAAGCAATGAATACTTCATGACTAAATCACTGCTAAAAGAGATCAGCCACACATCAGGGCCAGTTTGGGGAGGAGCAGTGATCGGAGGACTCAGTGGTTACTAGTGGATGAGGAGTCCGTGATAAGCAGTACCTTTGGTTTATATTTGAAAGATCCTGACGTTAACATGATGCAGTCTGTAACCCTGGAACTGAGGCAGCGGGAATGAAGCCTGGAAGCTGTCTTTGGCTGCATAGCAAAACCTTGTCTAAAAAAATGTCTAAATTGTTCCTAGTTTTGAATTGGCGGGGTTTGTTCATAAAATAGACTGGTTTCTTGAAAAATGCATTTGATGAAGGCTGGAGAAAGAGCTGGCTCAGTGATTAAGTGCACTGACTCCTCTATCAGAGGACCTGGGTTCAATTCCCAGCACCCACGTGGCAGCTCACACCTGTCTGTAACTCTTAATTCCAAGGGATCTGGCACTCTCGAACAGATACAAATGAAAGCAAAACACCAATGCATATAAAATAAAAATCATTTTTTAAAAATTTAAAAAGCAAAGGGCATCTGATACTACATGATTTCAAGGTGTGGTCCTTTGCAGGTGAGCCAATGGTGGCAGCAGAGATGGGAGTGTGGGATAACTACTGTGTGAAGAAGCAGCTGCTGCACTCCTGGTGAGTCTGGAACTTGAGCTAGCTCTTGCGTCATTGTTGAGTTGGACAAGTTGAACATGTCTGAGCTGTCTTTTTCCCTTTCAGTACTGTGATTGCCACCAACATTCTCCTGGTTGATGAGATCATGAGAGCTGGAATGTCTTCTCTGAAAGGTTGAAGAAGTCTACCTTGTAACTGAATCTGTAATACTACAGAATGATGTGGAGGAAATGGTCAGTTTTGTCCAAGATTCTAGCGATTTGGAAAAGAATTTTCCCGTTTGAAGAAAATGAACAGGACATTTGGCACCTATTCAAGTTACAATACTGTAAAAAAAATTTTTTTTTTGCATTGAGTGTATGCATACGCTCATAAAGTGGACCCTTTTTAACAAGATGTTTTTGAGACAATGACACAAAATTACATATTAAGATAAGCGTGTTGTCTACCTTGTTCTTAAATGTTCTTTGAAAAATTGTAATGGTTTTCTCCTAAACAAGGCATGGTGGTGCATGCCTGTAAGCCTAGCACACTTCGGAGGAAGTTCTGCTCCAACTCAGGCTACAGGAGACCCCCCAGCTCAGAAGAATCATTTTCTTTTCCTTATTGGATGTATTTTAAATTAGCCAACTAACCCCGTTAAACGTGTAAGATTCTTGCCAGTGTGAAACACATCTGGGTAATTTTATGGTTTTCATGGTGTCTAATAAATACATTCAAAGGTACTGGATTCGTTCACGCTTGAAATAACTGCTAAATCATTGCTTCCCGGAGAAAAGCTAATTTGAGGTTTTCAACATGGAGGCTGGGGGCAAGGAGGATCACAGTTCTGAAGCCTCCCACCAGCATGAGAACACAGGCAGAAACAGTCCGCAAGTATAATAGCCAAAAAAAAGATGGCTGAAGAATAGGACTTGGGTGAAATATATCATTTAGGCTATTTCCAAACCTTTAAACTATGCTTTTGCTTCATGCCTGTCACGAGCTTTGTCATATTTTTCTCTACTGAAATACTCTTGGTTTACATGTATTGTTTTGTTTGTTTTGGTTTTTCGAGACAAGGTTTCTCTGTGTAGTTTTGGTTCCTGTCCTGGATCCGATCGCTGTAGACCAGGCCTGGCCTCGAACTCACAGAGATCTGCCTGCCTCTGCCTCCCCAGTGCTGGAATTAAAGACGTAGCAACACCACTGCCCAGCCCCATGTATTTTCCTATGTGTTTGATATACATGCAATCTTCCCAAGTGGAGTGTTGGGCAGGGCTTGCTCTCAATATTCTACAGTGAGTGAAAATAAAAGGTTGAAACCTGTGGTCACGTGTTACACGGTGTGACTGAATAAAGGGTGGCATCTGAATGGATAGACAGCTATTTAGAAGTGCTTAACAGTTCCTGCAGAAAGATCAGTTCCCAGCAGCCACAACTGGGCTGCCTCCTAACCAGCTGCAGCGTCACCACTGTGGGTACACACGTACTCCTTAACATCATATACACAAAAAAATTTCAGAATAGATGAATCCAGTCCGAGTGTGAACAAGACAGGGTGTCAGCCAGTTTCGAGTTCATTCATGGGCGGTCCCTACCCGCGAGCTCCCAAGGAGCCGCCACCTGGATCGCCCAACAGCCTCCCATTGGTCAAAAAAATCAGGGTGCTTAGCATCAAGCAAGTGCGCAGGCGCGAGGAAGGCAGCCAGGCCACCGGCTCGGAGCAGACGCATGCGTGTTGCGTCCTGGCTCTTCAGCATGGGTTTCCTCGCTCCCTCTCTTGACTCTGCTGTGGCTCCTGTCGCAGTCCCAGGCTTCAGCTAGGTCAGTGTGCTGCTCTGTGCCTGTTTCCCACCCATCCCTGAGCACCCGAAAAGGGACTGCACCCAGCCTTTCAGATGCTGCCCCCTGCTCGGAGGGTTTTTTGCGGGCTTGCGGGCTGCTTGCTGGGGCTGGCCACTGTGAAACTGCACTCGGGTTTTTAAAGGCAGGGTCTCGTCTTGTATGCAGACCTGCCTGGGCCGCCGAGTGCAGCATGCTGGTTTTCCTGTTCTCCGTATCCCCACTTTCCCATCTTCAGCTGGTGCACTCATGTGTGAAACAAAGCTTTGATTTGTAGAAAGTCAGCTTTGAAAGCTCAAGATCACGAAGTCATACACAAAACTCCGATGTCACCCCTTATAACTAGGAGTACTCTGTTTAAATGCACCATTTTTTTTCTTTTTAAAGATTTATGTATTTTATTTTATATATATAGTGTTCTGCCTGCATGCCAGAAGAGGGCACCAGATCAAAATTATAGATGGTTTTGAGCCACCATGTATATAGTTTGCTGGGAATTGAACTCAGAACTTGTGGAAGGAAGAGCATTCAGTGCCCTTAAACTCTGAGGCATCTCTCCAGCCCCCCATCCCCCATATGTCTTTTTTTTTTTTTTTTTTTTTTTTTTTTTGGTTTTTTGAGACAGGGTTTCTCTGTGTAGCTTTGTGCCTTTCCTGGAACTCACTTGGTAGCCCAGGCTGGCCTCAAACTCACAGAGATCCACCTGCCTCTGCCTCCGCCTGCCTCTGCCTCCCGAGTGCTGGGATTAAAGGCGTGCGCCACCCACCGCCCCGGCTTCCCATATGTCTTTTAAAAAAAAAAATTTTTTTTTTTTCTTTTGAGACTGATCTCACTCTGTGTCCCTGGCTGACCTGGGACTCACTGTGTAGAACAGGCTGGCCTCTATCTGTCTTCAACTCCAAGTGCTGGGATTAGAGGTGTACACCACCACAAATGGACTTTAACAAAAGTGGGGGGAGTCCTTTTGTTTTTTCCTTTATGTGTATGTGTGCCGTGTGTGTGCAGATGCTGGCAAAGGATAGAAAACTTAGCCTGGCCCCTAAAGATATTTTTTAAAATTTTAGTTTGTCTATATTGTAATGTTTGATATTTAATTCCTCTTTAATTTGAGATTTCCCTACTTCCTCATTTCCCCTCTTGGAATTATGCTTGAAATGGATAGAATTGTGTCAGAATCCGAAGAGAGCTAAATACAGTACCCTGAAAGGCTGGGTGTGGTCACTCACCCCCAGCTCTTGAAAGGCAAAGAAAGGTAAGCAGAGCTCTCTGAGTTCCAAGCCAGCCTAGTCTACACAGTGAGTTTCAGGCCAGCCCAGGGTGAGAGGGAGTTGGGGATGACCTTGTCACCAAAAACTAAAATAAGAAAAAAAATCTAATTTAAAGTGACGGGTTGAGGTGTAACTCAGGTTGAACACCACCTAGCATGTGTGAGACCCTGGTTTCAATCCCATGTGGCACACACACACACACACACACACACACACACACACAGTTCTTAAACTGGGACACGGTGGCATATGCCTGTAGTATTAGCATTTGTGAGGCTAAGGAGGGAGAGTCCCTTGAGTGAAGGAGCTGGAGAACAATTTTTGGTTTTTGGTTTTTTTATTTTTTATCAGAAAAATCCCTAACATACATAGGCACACAAATTGTGGGGCTGGTTCAGGTGCTCAGCATGAAACCTGGGGTCCCATCCCCCAACATCTTATAAACGGGCAAAGTGGTACACACCTGTTACCCTAACACTCAGAAGTTGAGGCAGGGGAGTAAGGAGTTCATCGTCATCCTCAGATACGTAGTTCTAGGCTAGCCTGGGTTACATGAGACCCTGTCTCAGAAAGAAGAAAAAAAGTAAGTGTTTGCTGGGTGGTGGTGGGTGGTGGTGGTGCACACCTTTAATCCCAGCACTCGGGAGCGCAAAGGCAGGTGGATCTCTGTGAGTTTTGAGGCCAGCCTGGTCTACAAAGCGAGATCCAGGACAGACAGAGCTATGTAGTGAGAGACCTTGTCTTCAAAAGGAGTTGGTGGGGGAGGAGGGGGGGGGATAGAGTGAAAATGTAAATATATTTGAGGTTACAGTTCTTAAATTTACCTAGCTGAGGCAAGAGAGTTATGTAAATAATAAAGTATGGTCTGGAGACATGACTCAGCAGTTAAGAGCACTTGTTTTTCTTGTAGAGGACCCAGACTTGGTTGCCAACACCCACATGGCACCTTGGAACTAATCAGTTCCAGAGGACCCAGCGCCCTCTTCTCACCTCTGTAGTACCAGGAACACACACAATACACTTACAAACATTGCAGATAAACACTAATAAAAATAAAAATACTTTTAAAAGAGCTGAATTGTATTGGTACACCACCTTTAGTCTAAGCACTCAGGAAGCAGGAGCAAGTGGAAGTCCGTGAGTTCGAGGTTAGCCCAGTCTACATAGTGAGTTCCAGGTGAACCAGACCTGCATAGTGAGGCCCTTTCTCCACAACAACAATAAAATTTTGAAAGAGAATAATGAGGTAAGTGAAATTTCATTTACATATATTTGCATGGCATTACTCCTACCTGTCCTGTTCTGCAGGAAGTACCCAGGCTCCC